ACTCAAACCGGCTGCACCTCGAAAATTCTGAGAGCGGAGACAGTTAACCCTAGCGGCTGAGCCCTAGAGAGGGAGTTGTCAATTTATGGATTATGAAACAAGTCTCGTAATTAAAACATGATAATAATTAGTCATATTTAGAGAAATTTGAACATGGATCATTTGAAAACTAGGTAAATGAGAAACAAAAAATAAATGAGTTGATCCTATAAAGAAATTAGATTTGTGGAAAAATATCTTCAGAAAAGAAGGTAGAATTAAATTTTTTTTATTCCGTAACTTCTATGTTTGTTATTTGTTTTGTAAAGTTATTTAGTTTCGGATTTGATTATGTAACTAATAAATTATTACGCAGTACAATTTAAGGACTTTTTCACCGGAAACTTTACTTTTCGGCTGGCAATTTGATGTCAGTGACATCTTTTCCAGTGAGTTTATGCCTGAAAAGTGTACTACTTTCTGCTGAAAAAATTTAAATTGCAAAAAAATACTTAGTATTAATTTCAAGACCAAATCTGCAACAGAGTAAAGTTACAAGATTAATAATGGTTATAGTCGAAAGTTACGAAACTAAAGTTGTAATTTTCTCTATTATAATTGTTAAGTATTTGCATGATCACATCTATAATGGTGAATATCAATTAAGTTTCAACTTTTTTATAAACGAAACTCATATTTTCTATTTTAATTTGTATTATTATTTCATAAAATAATGTCAAAAATAGGACTTGAGACTTTTGAGTGGACAAAACTAGGACCATTACTCGGAAAGAAAAAAAAAAAGAGACCAAGGCCACACGAATCCCGTTCTCGCCCGTTGGTATGCAACTCCGCGCAATTCAAACCCTTCATCTCCTTCTCGTTCTCACCTGTGCTACAGGTCTGCTGCATCGCTAGTTGCCATTTCAACACTCATCGGTCACCACTTCAGAGCATCTCAATTGCTATAATGTTCACGGTGCACATGCGGCATGAGTGGTAGCCACATTAATATTAGCAAATAAATTATTTCTCTCCTTATTTGAATGATTTTATACAATTTTGGTAAGTTTTTCTCTGCAATGTCAGCAACAATGTCAACATCTAGACGCCCACCTTGATATTGTGGAGAAAAACTTACCAAAACTGTATAAAATCATTCAAATAAGGAGAGAAAGAATTAACTTACTAATATTTATGTGGCTATCTCTCATGCCACGTGTGACCGTGCATATTATACCATTGGAGATGCTCTCAGCACTCTCTCTCTCTCTCTCTCTCTCTCTCTCTCTCTCTCTCTCTCTCTCTCTCTCTCTCTCTCTCTCTCTCTCTCTCTCTCTCTCTCTCTCTCTCTCTCTCTCTCTCTCTCTCTCTCTCTATCCCCCCCCTCCAGGTCTTCACGTTATCGTCGTTTGCCATCCCATTCGCTCTCCTCCTCCTCCTCCTCTTTCTTTTGACCGTGATTGGGATGTGAATCGGCAACAGGCGGCAAGGAATTACGACTAGCGATGATGACGACGACCATCAAAGACAACCGACAGGGACAATGGACGATGTTGATGATGACGTTCCTGATACAGTGTAGTGACGTCGATGGCTAGAGTTAGAGCGGAACGGGTTGCGGAAGGTGTTGGGAATGGGAACTGGAGAGGACAGGGCGTAGGTGCGGGGCGAAGGTAGTTGGGTGGTGGTCGGGGGAGGAGGTGTGAGCTTTCAAGGGCGGCAGTGATCTGGGCAGTGGTGGTTGGGGGCGGGTGGTCACTTATCGGGACGATCGTTGGTCAGATTGGACATGGTCACTGGTCGGATTGGTCGTGGTCATATCACTATCAGATTGGTCACAACTGCTTGTTGGTCATTAGTCAATGGTTGGGTTGGCCACTGACCGAATTGGTCGCAATCGTTGGTTGGTTTGGTCTCTAATTGGATTGATCACTAGTCGAATTGGTTATGGTAATTGGGCGGGTTGCTCATGGTCACTAGTTAATTTGGTCACTGGTCTTGTTGATCACTGGTGAAATTAGTCTTTGTTCGAATTGGTCATTGTCACTAGTAGGAATTTAGTCTCATATATAACATGACTTTGTATTTGTTATTCCGAATTAAAAACTATCAATTTAGCGAGTAAATAATCAATTTAGCGAATTGGTCTATGTTTTTCCTAATCTTTCTTTAACTCTTTCTCTGTCTTTTTCTTATTTTTCAACTGAACAAACCTCTCGTGTGTTTCTTTTTTTTTTTCTCGTATCAAACCTCCCTTATTTATTTTCCTCCATTGCAACAAAGATAAAAGATAAAAATAACATAAGCAAATAGAGATATAAAGAAGGGAACATAAAATGAGAGAGAAAGTCGTCCACACCAATATTGGTCTTCTATTTTACTTTCTCCAAAGTCATACTGTCATCCAACCCAAAAAGAAGCATATGAGTTTGAGTCCTCTAATCTCAGTCTGTTTGAGTCTTTCTCCTCCTCTCTTTCATTTCCTGCTTCTTCTCCACACATCTCAACTTGTCTAACATGTGCATCAATTAGTCTTCTGCGCACATGATCAGGGCACTGCAATTGAGACTCCTGCATCTTATCTTCTATAGGTGTTAATACCACATTTTGTGTGATTATCACATTCTTCACACGATCTTTTCTGGTATGTTCATACATCTAACACAACATACGCATCTTTGTCATTCTCATCTTTTGAATGTGATATTATTTCAACGGTCAACACTCTATGTCATACTAATTAAGGGAGTGTTTGCAATAGCTTCTGCTTAAAAAAGGCACTTTTGGAGTGATTTGGGAAAAATGATTAATTGTAAAAGTTGATAGTGTTTGAGAAAAAGTGATTTTGAAAAGTAAAAGTTGGTAGTGTTTGATAAAATAAGTGCTTTTGGTGTATAAAAGGGGGAAAACACGTTTGACACGAAAGCTAAGAAAAGTAAAAATTTGATAGTGTTTGGTAAATAAGTGGTTTTTAAGCCAAATGGTGAGAAGTGTTTTTTTTTAAGTTGTTGCAAACCAGCCCCAACACATGCTCACCAATAGGTGTTGACACACGTTTAAGTGTGAAATAATAGAGATAATGAATAGTGTAAAAAAGTAGGATGCATGGTGGAAAAGTATGAAAGAAAAGATAAAAAGTAGAAAAAGTAAGGGTAATTCAGTATTTTTAAATGAAAAAACTTACCAAAAAAGGAAAGTGTAGCAAACTTTTGAATACATCCAAAAAAGGAAAGTGTAGCAAACAAAAAAAATACGGAGGGAGTAAAATTTACCTTTGAATCTAGGCAACCAATAAAAATCATGATGCACTTTTCCCTTTCATCCACCATAATATGATTTTATGAGCTATATCTCCATTTAATTCATCATCATTCTAAATTATGGAACTCAAGTAACGTAATATATCACACACTGGTATCTCCTTACCATCAAGTTTAATCAAATTGTTACTACTGTTCCATCTCCATCAAACTTGCACTCCATAATATGATTTTATGAGCTATATCTCCATTTAATTCATCATCCTTCTGAATTATGGAACTCAAGTAACGAAATATATCACACACTGGTATCTCCTCTTACCATCAAGTTTAATCAAATTGTTACTACTGTTCCATCTCCATCAAACTTGCACTCCATATACTCAATCTTGTTTTATCTCAATCTGAACCGCTTGATCTTCAATGTTTGTCATCATCCTTCCAAGATTGCTTTAACACCCGATTGTGTCTTATGAATCAATATAATATCATCGGCAAACATCATGCACCACGACATATATTTTGAATTGACTTTGTAAGTTCATCATCGACTATAATGAATAAGAAAGAACTTAGAGTTGGTCCTTGGTGCACTCCGATAATACTATAGAACTCTACAGTTCTCCTTACACTAGTACAAACACTTGTAGTACACGCCTCATACATATCCATGATGATATGTACTCATATACTTACGTGATATGTCTATTCTAGTTAATCCCTAGATAGTTGGCACATTCGATATAATTTGAAGACATAAAACAATAAAATAAAATGGGTACATACGAAGTATATATTAAGATGTTTTTAGTTGGACTCTTTTCAGTCCTAGACCAGGCCAGACTTAAACAGACCAAACCAGATCAGACTTAAACAGACCAAATAAACCAGACTTAAACAGACCAGACCAGACCAGATCAAACCTGAATTCCATAGTTATAAAACACACAGAGACCAAACATTTACAGACTAGACAAGTTCAGATCTCTGTTCTAACAATTGTTCTAGGCGTCCGACTAGTCCCCGCCTAGGCACTAGGCGGTGGTCGGGCACCCCAATTTTCGTCTAGGTGCTCCGACTAATTGGTTTGCCGTCTAGGTGAATTAGCCGGACGCCTGTGGCGCCTAGTTGCCCGCCCAGAGCGCCTAATCGGCCACCTAGGCCGTCTAGATTCCCCGAATATTACTTTACTTTTTAATTTTAATTTTCTAAGCGATATAAGTACTTTAACTTTAGCCACAGATATAAAGAAGTGAAGTTGTAAATCAAGACAAAAACTATATATGTTTGTATATATACCTAAATCTTATTATTATATATATTTATAACATAATGAAGTTAAGTGATTAGTTATCATATACTGCGTATGATTAAATGTGATAATTTTATCCTTCATGTTTGTTAATATATGTGTACATATCTATTTTATACACACATAAATACAATATACTTATCATATTTATGCAACAATATACATAAAAATGCAATTTTTATGTATCCTACTAGTCCCTAACTAGACGCCCGCCTAGCGCCTTTTAGAACATTGGTTCAGATCAGACCAAATTAGACTTAAACAGAGATTAGATTAGACCGACAAATTGTAATCGAACTGATTTAAAAGTTAAAACCATCCTTGTTTGACTCTCATAGGCTTTTTTTCGAGTCTTAGACCAAAATAGGGATGGGGGGTATGTCGTTTTTCGGTCTAGCTCTATATATAGAAGAGGAAACCGGGGACGGATAACACTTGTCAACACCCATAGTTGATCTTCAGCACAGAAAAACAGAATTTAAAACAAACATAGAAAGAATTCAAAGAAGGAAAGCATATCATGGACCCAACAGAAGCCTTCTCATCGAGCGTCTTTAAGTGGGACCCCAGAGCCGCAATGCCCCCGCCAAGCAGGTTCCTTGACCCCGGGGCGGCGCCCGTACTCCCCCAAGCCCACCTACTTCATGCTGCTGCGGCGGCGGCTACTCAGCATCCGTCTGCCGCCTCCTACTCCGTGCGCAACCGGCCGCCGGCGGAGCTGGGGGGACTGGGAAGGCTTGAGGACTTGTTCCAAGCGTACGGCATCAGATACTACACCGCCGCCAAGATAGCGGAGCTTGGATTCACCGTGAACACGCTGCTGGATATGAAAGAAGAGGAGATTGACGACATGATGACCAGCCTGTCCCACATCTTCCGGTGGGACCTACTTGTCGGTGAGCGCTACGGCATCAAATCCGCAATCAGGGCCGAGCGCCGCCGCCTCGAGGACGAGGAGTTGCGCCGCCGCCACTTCCTGGCCGGCGATAGTGTCATGACCAACGTCCTCGATGCTCTTTCTCAAGAAGGTACACACGTAGTCTTTGTTTCAATCACGTACATATTCAAACATATACTCCCTCCCAAATCAATTTGGAAAGTGATCAATCATTGTTAAAGTTAAAACCTTCATATTTATAAATAATTCAATTTTTAATAATTAAAGTTACATATCGAGAACCTATTTTGAAACACTTTCAAAGTTTCAAACTCCAAATTAGAATATAAGAAGTATTTAAAAATTGACATTCTAATTAAGTGAATAAAATGAAACTGTTTGACTAAGAAAAGTCAATTTTGAAAATTAATTTGAAACCAATGTACTAGATCTTTTAAAACTTCACCTCACCTCAATTCAATGATAATAATATTTGGTAATTTTGATTAGTATAACATTATGGATTTATAAATAGTTTTATATTATTATGAAAATATTTTTAATAGAGGATATTTTTATATCATTTTATTTATAAAATAGTTCCATATAAAAACTACACCACTAGACAAAATTCAACTTTGTTGACAGAAAAATTAAAAAGTGACAAATTTTTAAAAGATGGAAGGAGTATATGTATGATCATATTACTTCATAAGTTCGTACTAAGTTTTGATTAGCTCAGTCCAGTGGTGTAGTTTAAATGAGAATATGTAAATGAGAATAGTACTAAAAATGAAGTTGGTGATATCATTTTCCACTTATTAGCTTTTTCATCAAACACATAATTCATTTCAGTCGTTGAATTCTGTAATAATAAAAATAAGTAAGATTGAAGTTATTTTTCTGGTTGAATTTGTTAAAATTATTGTAGATGTTCATTTTAGTTATTTTTCATTTTTTTCATTTCTTTTATATAATACGGAATACTCCTTATGTATTTTGATTTAATGTTTCAAAACCTTATCAATTTGAAAAGCTTTAGCTGATTCATTTCAGTGTACTTAACATAATAACGTGAATTGAATGTGTATGTAGTACTCCGTATGTGTTTCATGCAGCGGCAGCAAGCTGTGTTTCAGTAGTACGAAGTATTATGTTTTTTTTAATGGTTTAGTAGAACTGTAGAAGAATATAAATTGTTGTTTTGTGAAGCAACAACGTAATTATATCGTCCACCAGATATTGTACTGTTTTATTGATGAATCAAGAAGTTTTTCGCCGCAATAATACTCCTCATTAACATATGACTTGACGGTCAGCGTCTTTTCCTTAGAGATTCAATTCTCCTACTACTGATTCGTACGTCCATGCGCGTCCTATGTAATACGTAGTACTTCGTATATGATGTTTTCTACGTAGTACTATTTTCGGTCCTTAACCAGACCAAATCAGACCGGACCAGATTAGATCATATCAGATCAGACTAGATCAGACTAGACTTCCGTAGTTATAAAATACACAAAGATCAGACGTTTACCAAACCAGTTCAGACCAGACCCGACCCGACCAGAACAGATCAGACCAGCAAATTTCAATCCAAAAGAAAACACCCTTTGGTAGGAAGTATGAGTATTTTATACTCCCTCCTAGAGTCGTGGTATACGTATAATTAGTCCATAATAATAACGCAAAAAAAAGATAAAAACTTCTTCTTTGTCGTAAGTACTGTATAAAATAAAAATACAACTCCAACTTTGATAACTTTTAAAAATTTATTCTAAAATTTTGACATTTTTGTTTTGAGATTATTAATTTATGGTTCCATTTATTTTTGTAAACATTAATTCCAATATTACTTAAAACATGTGACTTTGTAATATGTGATCCTGCACGTTACATATGCACATTTCTGCATTTTAATGTTGCTCTCTACAGCATTTTTTAGCTACTTACATTAAAAATATACAAAACAATCTATTGATAATATTAGAATATTTTCTCTTCTCTTTGCAAAATCCAAGTACCCACTTTTTGGTATTTGTATTTTACGCATAACTCCAACCTTATGAAGGAAATTTGACGGTAAGAAGGAGCGATTGATGCTAAAAAATTGCATACTGTGTTTTACTCATAAGTCCCGAGGGAAAACTACTTTAGATATCCCAAATTTTGAAATTGTGTGAGCTAAACATTCAAAACTTACATATGTAACATATATACTTCAGACTTTATATAAAAAGTAGGGAAAATTCAAGAAATAAGAGTAAAAATGTTTGAAAATTCCAAAATAGGAGTGTTATGTTCTGTTCTCAAAATAAGAGTAATTACTGTTAAATTTGGAAACTAATGTCATGTTTAAAGTTGAGTATTGTTAAAACATGACAGTAATTAGCATTATGTTAGCATCATGATCATAAGTTTTTTTCACAAATGTAATTTATGGTGTTAAGTGTATTTAAAAAAGCATGTATGAGGATGCAATTAAAAATAAATTGTATCGGATGTAATATATTTCACAAATGAAAATTTTGAAAATTAATTGCATCATAACAAAGCTTAGAGTATTTTAAATTATGTAATTTTTTAACAAATTTATATTTATAAAAATACAATGATGATGTGAACATAAGTTTTTAGATAAAATTTGGGATATATATATTATTTTTGCTTAAGTCATAACACTTCATCAATATTTATATATACTCCGTATGTTATAGTATGATCTACAATTTTTTTCTTTGTAAAATACTCTGTAATTAACTTTATGATTTGACGCCTATGGATTAGGTTTATCAGAGGAGGGTGGGGTGCGTGGGCATGACAAGGAAGCGGTGGGGAGTGGAGGCGGAGGACCGTGGGAAGTGGTGGCGGGAAGTAGCGGTAAGGAAAAGCAGAGGAGGAGGAAGAAGAGTGTGGGTAAGGCGGCGGCGGCGGCGGGGAGGACGTTTGTGTCGATGGAGGCGGAGGAGGAGGACGATATGGACGGGAACGACGAGGATGACGACGACGGGGTAAGCGAGAGGCAGAGGGAGCATCCGTTCATCGTGACGGAGCCGGGGGAGGTGGCGCGTGGGAAAAAGAACGGCCTGGATTACCTGTTCCACTTGTACGAACAATGCCGAGATTTCCTGATGCAGGTTCAGAGCATCGCCAAGGACAGGGGAGAAAAATGTCCCACAAAGGTTAGCATCTTTTAATGAAAATCTATTATCCTAAAACACAGTAATATCACTGTTTTCTTTCTAACAAACTACGTACCCTTCCTAATTTGGAAAGTCTTTACAATTTAATTACTCCGGGCATCCTAAAAGAATTAAATAAATCACATTTTTTTTTAATATAAAACATACTTTCATTAAAATTTTATTTAATTGCATCACTTTGTACTTTCACGCTTAATTTCACACTTCTCTAATCACTAAGACCATTTGTAGTGGTTACAGATTAGGAGTCAAAAAATTAAATATGGAATTTTTAGACTCTTAATTGAGTGTAGTGGGAGATTAAAAGAGGGAGTAAAAGTGGGAAGGGTAGTGGAGGAGTCTAAAAATAGAGGGTTGGGTTGACAGGGAAAAGAAAAGGAAAAAGAAAAGCGGCTGCTGCCGTCTACTGCCGTCATGATGATGTCACGCTTACGTCATTAAAATCCCATTTAATTTTAAACTCCTATAACTTTTTTATTTTTTCTCCAAATTCTTCGAAAAATATATCAAAATTCATGATTTTTTATGATCTTTCATATGACATCAATATGTAATATATAAAATGAAAAAAAAATTAACTGTTGGAGTTTTGTTAAACCCAAAAAAGCACGAAACACGAATTTTTAATTCATTAAGCCTTCACAAATAATAACTGAATATTCCATAATCGAATTTTATTTTAACTTAGTTCTTTTTTGTTAACCAAAAACCGTTTAAAAAAGTTAGTGAAATTTATTTTTTTTTACATCGAAATGCGTATCTTTTACTTCATAATTATCTAGGTAAAAAATTAAAAGGAAAATATTTTTTATAATAATTTAATTAAGGTTTTACTAAATTGATAGGTAAAAAATATGCAGAGTGTATTTTATTGACGGTGCACGGATGCGGGAAAAAACCGTATTGACGGAGTCTAAACACCGTTTTCATATGGACGGAGTCCAAATTTAACAATTTAGACTCCCTACCACTACAAATGGTCTAATATACTATCGGTATTTAATTATTAGAGTTTGCTTGGTAACCTTAATTAAAATTGATGACATTATGATTAAAGATGTCGAATTAAATAAATATGTTGAATTACGAAAAAATTATATTCAAAATATATTCTATTGCCAAAAAAAAATTATATAAATATAACTAAAATAATCTTCTACAATAACTTCAATCCAAAAAACAACTTCAACCTTACATATAAAAATGGGTTGATAACGCTGATAAACTAGGAATGAGAGTTATCAAACGAGCTGTTAATTTTAATTCCCATTGTATTTTTAAAATACAATTTTAATTATATTATGATAATAAAATATTTTCAACATGTTGGCAGTTAGTGCTGAGTTCAATTTATGAACTTTGTCTAGTACTCGTATTTAGAACAATTTGTTTATATTTTGTTTTTATGTCCCTTATTTTTTTATATCATAATTCTGATAAATACAACTGTAGGAAATAATTAATAATTTAGAGCCCGTTTGGCATTCCTGTTTTTTGATTTATCAGTCTTATTAACTAACTTTTTCACCAAACACGTAATTTTTGATTTCATGCGCTGAATAATGTAATAATCAAAATAAGTAAGATTGAAGTTACTTTTCTAGTTGCATTGGCTGAAGTTACTATAGAAAAAACCATTTTAGCTATTTTCATGTAAGTTTTCTTTATGTTATTAATGAATATTATTTTAAATATATTTTTTTAAATAAATAAGCAGAATCATGTAATACTGTCACTTCGGCCAGAACTTAAGCAGAATCAGCCGATGCAGCTAATTTCATCTTACCAAATGGGCTCTTATTATGCGGATTGACAAGTTCGAGTTTTTGGATTTTATTTGTAGCGTTATTTATGACCATTTAAAAAATTGTGTTAGTTCTTCCCTACGTTGCACGGAAACGCGAAAATCATGAGAAAACGGGACACGTCAACTTTTGTTCAAAAAACGCTTATTTGGAAAGTTTCCAAAGAGTTTCCGAGAGTTTCCGAAACGGGAAACGTAGCATTTCCTGAGAGTTTCCGAGCTACTTACGTTCTTCCAATTGATTATGGGGTCTGAGTTTTCAAAAGTACGGAGTATATATTAAGGCTACGATAATTTTTAGTTGACGTAAAATTGTAAAAAATAAAAATTGAGAGAGCTGTAAAATATACTGAACCAAGCAAAATTTGAAGGATGAAGAAATATCGTTCGAGCGTGATCCGACTTATACGAGTACTTCGTATAAGCTTAGACCGAATTGATAAGTCATTTACCATGACGGAAATCTAAATGTCAGGATTTTAGAAATGAGAAGATATAAATGTTACATCCAAAAAATGAAAGTGGGTAGATATGAATGTTACGGAGGGAGTACTTTGCCACATTTCCTTTTAAGTAAAAAATTTGTGGTTCCAATTAATTCTCTCTCATCTGCACAAACTTCAACCACACAGTTTTTGCCCTATTAATCTTCGTGCCGGTCAAACTTGGCAAAGTTTTAAGGGATGAAGGTAGTACCTTTTTTGAATTCTATCTAAATAAATGTTACATTTTTCATTTTGAACAATAATAATATGTTGTCAATAATGTATTATTTTATTGTACTCAATTCTAACGATAAAAAAAATTGTACTCAATTCTAAACCATAGTTCTTATTTTTTAATTATTTTATTAATAATTATGTCAAATTACAACGAGTCATATAAAATGAAATGAGTGTAGTATGATTGTTATAACAAGCAATGTCAAACTCGAGTAGTTTAACATCCATAATTTTAAGCGTTGCCGTTTGATTTAAGCCATTATATACTTCCCTTTATTTAGAATGTTTTTATTTGAACTTATTTTTATTTCAGACAAATTAGACAAAATTCAAATAAACTATATATCAGACCAGACCTAAATAGATTAGGATAAATCTGACTTTAATAGTCCAAACCATACCTGACTTTGAGAGTTGTAAAATATACAAAGATCATACATCTTTCAGATTAGATAAAACCAGTTTAGACTAGAAAATTTCAGTCCAAGTAGAAAATCTTTAATTGTAGCAATTTCATTACACAATTTAAATCAGTGATATATTTCTTTCTTTCTTAATGAAAAATCTGGATTTTGAAATTTTAGTACAAGAAGAATTTAAATGTACTTTTTAAAAGTTAAATTTGTAATATAGTAATAAATAAAATGTAATCAAGATAGAGTATGCGAATAGTGAAATAATTCACATGCAATGTTACACCTATTTAACAGCTAGTATAAACAAAACTATTTAACAGCTAGTATTAATTTTAATTGAATATTCATACAATTTAAGAAAGAGTTGATAAAAGTAAGAAATATTAGGAACGACTATGGAGCCATTCGTAGATCAACAATGTTTGATGTACCTACTCTTATATCCACAATATTTGTGAAGTGTTTTTTTGTCTGTGAACCGGAGTTCACAAAAAAACACTTCACAAACATAGATGTATTCAAAATTGGGTATAAGAGTGAGCACAAACTCATTTTTGTTCTTAGATAGGTAGTTACTTTGGCTCTTCTTAGATAGGTTTATTTACACTGAAAAAGGCGACTTTATTACTCTCTCCGTTCTTTTTTATTAGTCCCCATAGGGTTTGGCACGAGATTTAATAATAAAGTAGTAGGGTAAGTATAGAGTGTGTAGGGTAAATGATAAAGTAGGAGAGATAATATATTAAAAAGAGTAAAGTGATGATAAAGTAGGAAAGAGAGTGTATTAAGAAGAGTAAAATGATGGTAAAGTAGGAAAGAGAAAGTAGTTAGTAAAAAGTAAGTGGGGTTAAAGTAATAAAAGTAGGGGTATTTTCTCAAAAACTTTTCTTAAAGGAAAAAGAGACAAATAAAAAAATATCCTAAAGAACTAATAAAAAAGAACTGAGGGGGAGTATAATATAATAATAATGAAGAGTATACAATCAATTAGGAGCCCGTTTGGTAGTACCAAAATCGGCTGTTTTGGCTGATTCTGCTGAAATTTATGATATTCTGGCTGGAGTGGCTGTTGTGGCTGATTCTGCTGATTTAAGAAAAAAATATTTTAAAAATATATTTTATTAATAAATTAAAGAAAAAATTATATGTAAAAATAGCTAAAATGGTCCTCTACAGTAACTTCAGCCAATACAGCCAGAAAAGTAACTCCAACCTTACTTTTTCGGCTTATTACACAATTCAGCGCGCGAAAGTAAAAGTTACGTGTTTGGTGAAAAAGCTGGCTGATAAGCCTGATAAGCCGAAAACAGAGTTCTCCAAACGGGCTCTAGGAGTATTAACTAATGTGACTGTGGTACTTTTTTGGTTTCAAAGTAGTCAGTCGGTCAGTGATTCATTCATACTCCGTATATAGTTGTGAAAACCCACATAAAGATCCCCATGCTCGGGCGGGGGCTGGTGACCTCGTTGAATGGGTCACTATACTGTAGAAAGTAATTAGCTGTCCACATGAGAAGCTGACACCTAAAGTACTGTGGTGGTGCTATGTGACTGTTGGTTGTGTCCCTAGCCAAGGCCAGGCTGAAGCAATATACCCTTAGGATATTGCCCTTCCCTCTCTCAATTACTCCTATTGTCCTACGGTGTCTTTCTTTTGTTAAAATAATGGCTACCCATAGAAGAGGAGGGTACAGCAATGAACAATCTAACCCCATAGGTAAATCCATGCTTTCACTCTTCAAGTCCCCACAATTGTATGGTCAAACTACTTCAAAGTTCAAGCATACTCTCTACTCCGTATTAATTAATGCTCCGTGCTTTTTTGTTGTTTGAGAACTACGGAGTACTAATTTTACACCACATAATTAAAGTAGGGTTGTGGTTCAATTTAAGTGGCAAAAATGATTTACCAGGTTGTTAAAGATAAATCAAGTTAATTTTTTCTTGATAATAGTGAGTTGTAGACATTAAAAATACAATATTTCTTTTAGTAAAGGGAGAAAATAAATCCGGAAATGTTTTTAAACCGATCCCCAAATCTACAAAATAAAATGAAATTAATTTGGATAAGAAATGTTAATATGAAAAATTATTTTGAGATGTTGGAAATACACAGAGTTTACTTTATTTATTTTGTAAATTCGAATTTATTTATTTTGTAATCTAGAACTTTTAATTTTTATATAGAAAATTCTTAGTGTACATGAGTTATACATAAATTGTACACAAACCCCTCTAATTGCTTGTGTGCGCAAGCAATTTGTTTAAAAAGAGACAAAACTTGATATCAAATTGTCAGTGTACATAGACAATATTTTATATTTTGTAATCTAGAATTTAGAATATGAATAGATTTAAAAAAAATTAAAATTTGCACAGTTGATTGATTTGATTCTAGTACGAGGTGATTTGAATATTTTAATGGATTAATGATTTGATTAATTTATTTATTTTGTAATCTAGAATTTTTAATTTTTATATGGAAAATTCTTAGTGTACATGAGTTATACATAAATTGTACACAAACCCCTCTAATTGCTTGTGTGCACAAGCAATTTGTTTAAAAAAGGACAAAACTTGATACTCCGTATCAATATTTTATACTCCCTCCGTTCCCAAAAATACTTCCCACTTTCCTTTTTGGGCCGTTCCCAAAAATTCTTCCCACTTTCCCTTTTTAGACAATTTGTGTGGCTCACATTCATTTTACGTTTTTCTCACACAACCACAACCACACAATTCCACTTTATTCCACTTTCTTAATAGACGTGCCAAGTCAAACCGGGAAGAATTTTTAGAAACGGAGGGAGTATTTTGTAATATGAATAGATTTAAAAAAATTTAAAATTTGCACAGTTGATTGATTTGATTCTAGTACGAGGTGATTTGAATATTTTAATGGATTAATGATTTAATTCTAAGGAATACTCCGTACAATAAAGTAAAAGAAGATGCAAGATAGTGGTTGAAACTTGAAAGTAAGTACGTGAAAAGTTGAAATACTTGTGCCCGGTTCAATATGAGGTTAAAGGAATCGTCTTCTTTTTTAAGGTGTACATCAATCAAAATAAACTTTATCGTTAAAACTTACTCCCGGTTTTATTTAATCTTCACACTTTGACTTCACACAAAATATCCCGGTTTTATTTAATCTTCACACTTTGACTTCACACAAAATAAGGAAAGAAATTTGACTTTACTGTAGAGTACATTGTTGAGACACTGATTGACACTGTTGAGACACTGTTTTGATGTAGATTTCTTTGCCAAAAAAGGAAATAAGGAAATGTGAAGTTTATTTTAGACCATCCCAAAAAGGAAAGTGTGAAGTTTATTAAAAATCGGAGGGAGTAAAATATTTGTTGATACATACTCCCTCCGTCCCAATTTGTTTTGCAAAGTCAACATTTTTTTGTCAACTAATAGTAAAAGTCAACCCTCATTACGGATAATTAACTCAGTTTTTAATAATTAAAATTTACATATTCATAAACTACATTAAAATCTCTTCAAAGTTATTAACTTCAAATTAGAATATAATTAAAAATTGGCATCCTAATTAAGCGAACAAAACAAAACTGTTTAACCAAGAAAAGTCAAGTTTGGAAATCAATTTGGAACGGAGGTATTATGAAGTAGGGGTGTGCATCGGTTCAAAACCAGACCGAACCGAACCGGACTAAACGGGAACCGGATTTGCAAGAAAATAGAAATCGAAAATCGGACCGGATATATTCTGGTTTTGATCCGGAACTGATCCGGTTTTACCGGTTCAAAATCGGAACCGGACCGGAAGAACCGGTTTCTACATTATTAAATCCATATACTTAAAAATACAACTAATTTGTTTAATAAATTTGGGGGTATTCGTTACTAATATTATTATTATTATTATTATTATTTATATACTTTTATTAGTCTTATAGAGTAAAGACTGAAGCAAATTCAGTGTAGAATAGTAAATATTAGTTTAAAAAGATACGAGTAGTAAATATTAGTTAATTCTATTATCAAGAAAATAAAAATAAATAGATGAATAAAACATTAGAATAATATACACTACATATTAAAAGGACTAATATTTACAGAGTATATTTTTATAACTATTACGGGTATTATTTTTATTATTTTATAACTATTTTATATTAATACTATTAATTAATACTCTCTCCATCCCGATGGACTTTGTCAGGTGCAAAGTACGTGAGATATAAGAATACTAAAAGCTGTGTGGTTGAAATTTATGCAGGGGAGAGAGAAATATGTAGAACTCAATGGCAAAGTTTTTTGGGACAACAAAAAAGGGAAAGTTAGCAAAGACCAATGGAACCGAGGGGATATATTTAAAAATATAGCAAAATCGGTTTAATCCGATTCAAACTAGAAGAATTTGGTTTTTAACCGAAACCGGACCGGAAACCGGATTTACAATATTTGAAAACTGAAAACAAGATCGGATATCAACCGGGTGGGGTCGGTTCCAATTTTTCCAACCCCTAATATGAAGTACAAGTATATTGTTAAGACTTAAATCTAAGTTTCACACTGCAAAGTAATATGAAGTAATTCAGATTTTAATATAGCATTATTATTTCACAATTTTTGTAAGAGAATTCCACATTAATGCAAGTGGATAAGTAAAACGAGAAGTGACATTTTTGGTTGGTGTTTGAAATATTCCGGCCGGCGTGCAGGTGACGAATCAGGTGTTCAGATATGCGAAGAAGGCAGGGGCGAGCTACATCAACAAGCCCAAAATGCGGCACTACGTCCACTGCTACGCGCTGCACTGCCTGGACGAGGACGCCTCCAACGCGCTGCGGAGGGCCTACAAGGAGAGGGGCGAGAACGTCGGCGCGTGGCGGCAGGCCTGCTACAAGCCCCTCGTCGCCATCGCCGCCCTCCAGGCTTGGGACATCGACGCCATCTTCAACGCCCACCCCCGCCTCTCCATCTGGTACGTCCCCACCAAGCTCCGCCAGCTCTGCCACGCCGAACGCAGCCAGGCTTCGTCGTCCACCTCGCTCTCCGGCGCCGGCGCCGCTTGCTCCCACCTCCCTCTCTTTTAATTCACTTTCGACATCTTCTTTTACTACTTTTTTCTCCTGCTTAATGATGGACGTTGATGGTGATGTATTATTGTAATGTTCTCCTAATTTCAATTACTTGTCTTGATCTATTTTGATACATGGTGGATAGGCTGCATGATCTGGAATCTGAATGAATTCATCTAAATTAGGACTATCCAAACCAATTTTAATAAAGTAATTAGGGTAAAAAAAGAAAAGGAAAGAGAAATCTTAGAAAAAGTAAACATATAAAGTAAAAGTAATTAAAGAGATACAAGTTGGGGAAGAGTAAATTATGAAACTTGATATGTAATCAGTAGGAAAGAGAAAATTGAGTAACGATGTTTTTACAATTCGTCCTAGACCAGACTAGATCAGACCAGACCAGACCATACTTGGATAGTTATAAAAATACAAAGAAATCAGACAAGACCAGACCACACCAGAAAATTACAGTCCAAGTAAAAACATCCTAAAGACGTAATTAAGAGGGTAATTGTTTTCTTAAATGAAATGGAAACCTTTATATGAGACATACAAATATGGAAAGTTAGAACCCGTAAACGAGACGAAGGGAGTAAGTTATTTTAAAAAATGTGCATAAAAACTATCCACGAACTGACACCAAATTATGTTGTAGTCAATGAAGATGAATTGAACCAGGTCCTCTATTCCCCAAGAGTACAGTGAGTCTTTCATCTTTGGATAATTGTGCAAATTTAGGCACTTCATTCTAATTTTCAGACTCCCGATCAAACGGTAGTTTTGTCCGTGTAATTTGAAAGTCGGAAGAGGTTTACATACTAATTTTGTGACTAACATCAATCTTTCCTCTCATTGATGTGAATGGAAATATATTATATGCTTGTATGTTATTAAAAAAACAGGTGCTCCTGCCATCATTATCGTATAATAGATCACATTTGTGGGGGTCTCTTGTTCGCCAAAAGTTTTATTTTACCTTAGGCACAACATAAGAAGTATTTCAAGTTTTTCAATTTACAGTAGGACCTTAACATTTCATCGTACTAAAAAACAGCTCCACAACGTTGAAACTTGTGATGTAGATGTTCGATAATCAAATATGGAATGTCTAATTAAACACCCCCGAATTGTTACGGATAATCATCAAATTTTGAAATAGAGGTATAATACTTGAGATGTATATGTGTCATTAATATGAAAAAATGTCATAAGAAATAGTAGGATTAATAGAAGAGTGAAGGTGCTCACTGACTTATATATGAGCAGAAGCACCTGTAAGCTTGTTTGTTATAACCCGATGATTCACAACATTTCTTAAATTTGTAGTGTGGCAAGAAGACATTGTTGGATGACGTAGTTTTTAGTTTACAATTATTTTGCAAATTTAATGTGATTTATGTGTCAATTACATGACACAAGTAAGTACAATTCACGTCACATGAAATTTAAATATTAATATTGAGAGTATGTACCGTATACTACTATTTAGTACTAGTGAGAAAGTATTCAACATTGTACATTAGTATTCTGTCAATTCCACTCATGTAAGCCGAGTTCTTAGATATGTTTCCAACCTTGCACGCCTTTTTTTTTCATATGTTCCAATTCTTGCAAATAACATTGAAATTAAATTAGAGAACATTTTTTTCAAATAAATGAATACTTATGATATATCATTTTTTGGTAAACACGAGTCGATGTATGAAAATCAAATGATAGTGAGCACTAAAATTTAAGATTAATAAAATATGGTATACATAAAATAATAAATTGCGGCTAAAAAAATTTGTATGATTTCTTTAAATATTTCAATACTTATTGATGTGAGTGATTAGTGAATTTTACACATAGATTAAATTTTAAATGAGTTTACGAGATTTAAAACATAGTATTGGTTTTAAAATTCTATTAATAATTTTAAAATTTACTTTTGAGCATGAAGCTATTAAGAATCTATTTGGTAATTAATATTTTTAGTTTATCAATCTTATCAGTAATTTTTGTTTATCAAACTCACACCTTTGATATTTGCGCGTTGAGTTATACATTTCCGTCTCACAAAAACTTGACCAAAGTTGACTTGCACGCAGAATAATAAAGTAAAAAATGTGTGATTGAGATTTGTGCAGATGAGAGAGATTGTTTTAACCATATATGTGCTACATTAAATGGAAATGACAAAGTTTTTTTACACGAATTAAAACGAAAATTTGACCACGGGTTGTGGGACAGATGAAGTATAACCAATATAAGTGAGTTTTAAATTACTTTTCTGATTGAATTAGTTGAAGTTACTGTAAAAATTATCGTAACTATTTTCCATAAGATTTTATCTTTAGTTATCACTATTTTGTTTATATAACATATCCACAAATCAATAAATTAGTGAAGTCGGCTGGTTCAACTAGAATTTGATCAATTTCAATCGATTCAAGCCATTTAACCGTTTCAATGTTACCCAATAATGGTTACTAAAATATACTTCCTATGTCCTTTAATTTTTGACCAAGTTTGACTGGCACGAGAAAAGATAAACTAAAATATGTGCAATTAAAGTTTGTGCAGGGGAGAAAGAAAAATGTTTGTGGTACAAAGTTTAAGTTATTGAATAAATTTTTTTCCCATAAGTTCTTTAATTGAATGAAAAAATTACACAATTTGTGGTACAAAAAAAGAAAAGTTGACAATTTTTTAAGGTATGAGGAGCACAATTTAAAATTTGCCAAATTAAATGATTTTAAGTTATCGGCCAAAATTCATTCAAAAAAAAGTTATCGGCCCAAAACTTTTAAAAACAAAATTATTGGGCCAAACCTTTAAAAACAAAATTATTGGCCCAATATGTTTGATCCGGTCCAATTAGAAAATCACGTGCCCAGAAGGTCGGACGCTATATTGCTCTCCGTTTCCAGCTCCTCTTCCCCTTAGGTCGGACGCTGCCTACGCCGCGCCGTTCTTCTAATATCCCGACCGAGGTTAGTCGATTATCACTAAACTGTCTTCTTATTTTATTGCATCTTGTTTTGTTTGTTCGTGCATATCTTTTTATATCTTTTCAGCAGCGAATAGATCAAGCTTAGAAGGTGTTGTTGAAGTTCGTTCTTTATCTGTTATTTCAGTTAAAAGATGTATAATTTTCTAAATTAAGGACTAACGAGTTGTAATAAGCTGTAATTTAATATATATAGAGATATTTTGCTATCGTGCTTCACTTTTTAGTGCACACCTGGAGTTTTGAATGAAAAGATACTTCTGTAATGAAAGATATGATAAATCTAGCTGGAATGGGGAATGGAAAGAAAATAGAAAAGTAGAGAACTGAGAAGACGTGCTGAAAAAATATAAAATCAAGAGGCCAAAACTGGTATGAAGCCTTGCTATTTTTACATTGTAATGAGATTACAAAAGCAACGTTAAAGATGTGCTGAAAAAATATAAAATCAAGAGGCCAAAACTCAGCCACACATGAAGTGTTCCCCTAGCCTGCTAGTAAGCCATCCTTTGAACAAAAACCCCACTGTATATAATTGCTAGAACTGACAGCTAATTTTTTATAAAATAAAATGAAAGTGATGTGAACAAATCTAATTACTTCTTAGGATTCAGTATAGCTTTCTTAACCTGTTTGAAGCACTTTAGTCCAGTATTCTATCATCATGCTATTTAAAGAGGATTGTGTAGAATCTGCAACTCTTGGTTGTTGATCTCAGAAAAGGTTCTCATTGTAGTTTTAAGGCCTCCCTTGTCAATCACTTAATTGTGGTATGCTGTTGAAAGTTGGAACATGGTTTGACCGCTATATATGAGCTTGGGAGTGAGTTTCTCCCATCCTCAACTATTGATTATCCACACCGACCATTTCCATTTTAGTTTTCGGCAAAATAACGCACAAGTATACTATTATTGGGTCATCCCAGTCACCTATTCTATGTTTTGCTACCGTCTCTACTAAAACAGTTTCCTGATCTATTTAAAGATGTTCAAAGCACAAAGCTAATTAATGGACATATATCATATCAAGGTGATGTGCAAATTGTAAATTTCATTTTGAGTAATCCTAGAACCCTATTAAATGTTGTTTTGCTCCCAAAATTTCAGGCCAGATGTGTTATCATGTCTTTCATAACATCTACCACTAGTAAGTCCATTAAACATTGCAGAATACCAAAACTAGACCATATTATTCAAGAGCTTACATAGAAAATATAAATGTACTGTTTATTCACTTATAAATTATACTACGTAATGCTTTTGATTTATCACTTAGATAAAGGTGCTAATTTCTTAACCTTTGTTTGAATATTCTTTGCTAAAGAGACTCAAAATTTAAAAAATGGAATGATAAAATTAAATTAAGTAAAACTTATCCAATGCCAAAGGCTGAATTTAAAAAAGCTAAAGAAATATATATGTCGAGAAAAATGTAAATAATAAAGATAATCATAAAAAAATACGCAAGAATGAATCTTCAAAAAGAAAAAGTAAAACGAAAATATGACTTATGAAGTAGAATGTGCTTACCTGCACGAAGTTACCAAATGTCATCTCTAATTTTTGCAAGGGAAAAGACATAAACAGTGAACGTTTGTTTTTTGCTACAACTTACATAATTGTTTCTGTCTTATTTTTACTGAACCGGAATATTGTTTTTAAATGTATTAAAATCTTGTTAGCGTTTCTGTTATACTTCTAGAGTTTTTATAATCATTCGGAAACTGCTTATTCGGCCCATTTGTTCAAATCGCTTCCAAATTGGCATATTCAATTTAGCTGATCAATCAATTGGTTTATGGCCGTAATGATTGAAGGATATTGAGATGGAGAATCCTGAAGAAGAGTCTGAATATGAATCTGATTCAGAAGAGGACGAAGAGCAAGTGGTGAAGTTGGATGAACCTTCAAAGGATGCCGTTTATAACAAGAATGGATTACTAGACAAACTTGGAGACATCAGCTGGCCTGAAAAAGCGGACTGGATACACAGGCTCTCATTTGACATAGATAGAGAGGGAGAAGAAGTGGATGTGAATGATGACCTGGCACGAGAGCTCTCATTCTACACACAGGCCTTGCAAGGAACACGGGAAGCCTATCTCAAGTTTCAATCTGCTGGGCTTCCGTTCTTGAGGCCCTCTGATTACTATGCTGAAATGGTGAAGTCTGATGTCCATATGGAGAAAGTCAAGGGCCGCCTATTGGCAGAAAAGAAGAATATCGAGGAAGCCGAGGAAAGGAGGAAGGCTAGGGAAAACAAGAAAATAGCTAAAGAAATGCAGGCTCAGAAACTGAAAGAAAGGGCTCAGCAGAAGAAACATGATATTGAATCTGTTAAGCAGTGGAGAAAGCAAAGGCAGCAGAGTGGGTTCGACAAAGATGCAAAAGCTGAACTTGATTTGGACTTTGATGATGGTAATGGTAAGGTTTTCCAACGATCGGGTAAAACGAGGCCAGGGGTAGCCCCCGGAGACCGTTCGGGTGGGAAGAGCAGATTTGGTGGTGGGATCAACAAAAAAGTGGGATTTGATAAAAAACCAAAGGGTAGGGAATTTAAGAACTCCAAATTTGGTTTTGGTGGGCAGAAAGGTGGGAAGAAGCAGAACACTGCTGACTCTACAAACGATTTTCGAGCTTTCAACAAAAATAGGGATTCCTCTGCTGGTAAAAGGAGAAGGGTGAAGCCGTGAAGTGATCAATTTCATTTTGTACCATTTTTTTTAAGTTTGTGTTAGGATTGTTTTCATATTTTGCATCTGAGCCCCCCCCCCATTTTGTACTCCTATCTATTTAAATTTTGCTATTGATCTACTTTGTTCCTTTTGAATCTTGAATACTGTTTGTACACAATTCTTTTTTGAGTTATTATTACAAGAGTGCGGTTAGTCTTGAAATTGTCAAATTTTCCATTGATGAGTTGTAGCCTTGTAGGCTTGTAGCTCGAATCAGTCGTGTAATCGAGTAAAAGATATGAATGCAAATCGTCAAAAGAAGATCGATACCAAGTCTAATATTAATCGAGTTTAAAAAATTTTTGATTATCAAAAACAGGCCTTCATTTATATCAAAAGATTCAGGATCATTACATCAAGCAAAAAGAAAATAAAACTGACACCAACTGAAACTCCAACAACTACGACTGTAACCATATGGTGAGACTTTGAGATGGTCACCCCTGAGAGAGCAACACGAATCGCTAAAATTCTGTTTTTGGAGAGAGCAACACGATCCTGAATTATTTTCTTGAATGTGTGAATGTGGTTTTATTCCAGCTTCAGCTCCAATGTGTGAATGTGGTTTTCATACCCATTCAGTTTTTTAACAATCTTGGAATTATTTTCTTGGATCTTTTGCAAATTAGAGGGTCAAACCACTCCATGAAACTGCACCCTTCAGACCACTGCAATCACATATTACAAATACTAATACAATCTATCATCTCAAAAAATACAGAGCAATATTTTAGCTGCAGCAAACAACTAATACCTGGCTTCCAACGAATTTCCAAAACCTTCTCCCACAATTTTCTTGTTTCCATGTAGTCAAAAGCTTCAATTCTTGCCCACATTGACAATGTTTGACCGGAATCCACTCTCCATATTCATACCGGCCTGTTGATTTTGAGGTAGCAGAAGTACTGTCAGACATGGTCGCCTTCGAACAGGGCCTACGAACGAGAAAGACGAAAGAAAAGTTTATAGATGATGAGGGATATAGGTTTTCTTCTTTAGGTTTCAAGAATGGGTGATGTAAGGGGTATTAAAGAGGGGTGGTTACGAAACAGATGGAGTAGGCGAGGAAGAAGTAAAACCAGCTTTGAAATTAGTTAAATAACCTTTCCCTTTTTTATTATAATGAAAATGTCCGGACATTTGGCCGGAAGGGCGGCGGAGGGTGACGGGACAAAACTTTGGGACTAAATGTGGACAAGTCGAAACTCAGATACGTAATGCGGAAGTAGTATAATACTCAAGGGACCAAAAGTGGAATTTTTTCTTTTTTGTTATGTTTAAATTTAATGTTGCACTCGGATTTTTTTTTTTGTATTTGAGCATTGGGATATCATGTGTGTATATGTAATGGTCATAATTTCATGATTTGAAATTTGATTTTTTTAATGTAACTAAAGGTAAAATGTGTTCATTCTAGGACGATAATGATTTTTTTATGTAACCGAAAAATGTAAGAACCAAACCAAATCTAACAACTACATTTTTAACTACAACCAACTCCAATTTAACACCTACAATTTTAAAGGTTCCATCGAATTTTAACAAGAACCGAAACGATCCAAAGCTTACTTAATGTTATGCATGAGATTATACGCTCAATATAATCTAATGTATTTATATGATACTTTATTGCGAGTTCGGTTGAGTAACTTTTTTCATTAATATTATCATTCAATATTTCAATTGAATTTTAGATTCTTAATTTTTTAAATTGTGTAATTTTCAAATGAATGAAATTGAATTTTAGAATCTAAAAAATGTGTAATTTTAGATACTTGTCATTAGACATTTCTATTTTGTATCGAGTCTCAAAAGAAAAAAAAAATGTGTGATTGAAGTTTTTGCAGAAGGGGCAAAATAAATTCACCCATAAATTCATAATTTTAAAAGAAAATGTTAATATTTTAAGAATTTTTATTTATATTCATTCATATCTCTCACACTCAGTTCTAGAAAACAATTTTGGTATGGTAGCAGTCCCAGAAAGTCAGAAACAAGTCTACTCTGTATCAACACATGAACTGCAAAACCATGCGCTTCAGACAATTATGCAGCACCTCTTCGCACTTGACGCAAAGTGATCCTGTAAGCAATCTTAAAGCGACAAAGCCTCCTATCCCAAGCCCAAAAATATCTGAGGCTGCCAAACGGAAACCAGTGACAAGTTTTATTGCCGATTCAGACACAGTGAAATGGAATATGCAAATCACCAAATTCATGCGGAATGGCGAGTGCGAATCTGCAATGCGCTTATTCAATTCCATGTCTATGAAAAACAGTGTCTCTTGGAACTCAATGATCTCTGGGTACTTGTCCAATAATAGGTTCGACTTTGCACTGCATCTTTTTAATCAAATGCCACATAGGGATTTGGTGTCCTGGAACGTGATGTTAAGTGGGTATGTGAGGAATAAGAATCTTGGAGCTGCTAGGTTGTTGTTTGATCAAATGCCTCACAAAGACGTGGTCTCGTGGAACACTATGCTGTCTGGGTACGCTCAAAGCGGGCATATTGATGCAGCAAGGTTGATTTTTGATATGATGCCAGTGAAGAATGAGATTTCATGGAATGCACTGCTGTCAATGTACGTGTGCAATGGGATGATTGATGCCGCCAAGAGATTGTTCGAGTCGAAGGAAATCTGGGAGGTTGTTGCTTGGAATTGTTTGATGGGTGGGTATTTGAAGAAGAGAATGTTGGCTGAAGCCAGAGTGATTTTTGATAGAATGCCTTTGAGGGACGAGGTTTCATGGAACATAATGATATCCTGTTGTGCACAGAATGGTGAATTGGAGGAAGCAAGGAAGTTGTTCCATGATTCTCCTATTAGAGACGTGTTTGCTTGGACTTCAATGGTTTCAGGGCATGTGCAAAATGGTAAAGTAGAGGAAGCTAGGATTTTTTTTGATGATATGGAAGTGAAGAATGAGGTCTCATGGAATGCAATGATTGCTGGGTATGTTCAGTGCAAAAGGATTGATTTGGCAAGGGAGTTGTTTGAGGCAATGCCCTGTAAAAATACTAGTTCGTGGAACACAATGATAACAGGCTATGCACAAAATGGTGATATTGTTAGTGCAAGGAATTTGTTTGAATGCATGCCTAAACATGACTGCATCTCTTGGGCTGCAATTATTGCGGGGTATGTTCAATGTGGTAATAGTGAGGAGGCACTGCGCATGTTTGTTGAAATGACAAGAGATGGGGAGAGGATAAACCGGTCATCATTTACATGTGTCATAAGTACTTGTGCTGATATTGCAGTTTTTGAGTTAGGAAAGCAAGTACATGGACGAATTGTAAAGGCAGGATATGAATCAGGCTGCTATGTGGGGAATGCTCTCCTAGCAATGTATTGCAAGTGTGGAAGCATGTGTGAGGCACTGGGTGTGTTCAAGGGAATAGTAGAGAAGGATGTCGTCTCTTGGAATACATTGATTGCTGGTTATGCAAGGCATGGATTTGGCAAAGAGGCTCTTGAATTTTTTGAAGTAATGAAGGGAAACGGTTTTAAACCAGATGATGTTACTATGGTATGTAGTTATTTTCAGCTTTCGTAAGTTGATTGCAATTGATAATAGTAATATGGACATTACAATTATGACCATATGTCATATTGACGAAAATGTGTGTATTTTGAGATTTGAATGGTTCTCTAGGTTCATTAGTGTTGTAGTTATTTTCATCTTATGGCTCATTACGATATCCTAAGACTTAAGTGAGGTGGAGGCAGTGGAGCTAATCTAAAATGGATCTTAGATGCCTTTATTCTGAAGCTGTCTTGCTTTGAGACTCTGTCTTACAAGCTGCAAATCTGCGATGCACACACCCTTGTGACATCTTCTAACTATGCAGCACTTAGTTAACACTGCTTTATATGTCAATGTTTATTATTCATGCCATAATTTGGAGGCAATAATGATTTCCTTAGTTATTTACAAATCTTCCTGGTGTAGCTTTTCTCTGGTTGGTGCGCTTTTATGTATCCTTGAGAAAATGATGTTTAGGTTTGACTCACCATCATATATTCTTTAGGTCGGGGTACTGTCCGCCTGCAGTCATACAGGCTTGGTTGAAATGGGAATGGAATATTTTGATTCTATGAAGGGAGACTATGGGATAGATGCAAATTCAAAGCACTACACTTGCATGATTGATCTCTTGGGTCGAGCTGGGCGCCTGAATGATGCACAAGGCTTAATCAAGAGCATGCCCTTTGAACCAGATGCTGCCACTTGGGGTGCTATCCTTGGGGCAAGCAGGATTCATGGAAACACGGAATTAGGAGAAAAAGCTGCTGAAAAAGTTATTGCATTGGAGCCATGGAATGCCGGGATGTATGTTCTTTTGTCTAACATGTATGCAGCTTCTGGTAGATGGTCTGATGTCAGTAAGGTGAGATTAAAACTGAGGGATACTGGTACAAAGAAAGTTCCCGGGTATAGTTGGGTTGAGTTACAAAACAAGATTCACATTTTTTCAGTTGGGGACTCCACACATCCAGACAGTGAAAGAATGTATGCTTTCTTGGAAGATTTAGAACTACGAATGAAGCGTGAAGGCTATGCGGTTGCAACAAAATTAGTCTTGCATGATGTGGATGAGGAGGAAAAGGCACATATGTTGAAGTATCATAGTGAAAAATTAGCTGTTGCATTCGCAATTCTGAATGTGCCCCCTGGGAGACCAATACGTGTGATAAAGAATTTAAGAGTTTGTGCAGACTGTCACACTGCAATCAAACTTATTTCAAAACTTGAAGAAAGATCAATAGTTCTACGGGATAACAACAGGTTCCACCACTTCAATGATGGTATATGCAGCTGTGGCGATTATTGGTAAATGGTAATGCCAATGAACTATGGGTGCAACGTATATGGATCAAGACATGGTGATACATTTGAATATAGTCCGCATGCTAGCAACAACGTTATGCTTAGTGGTTAGTCTTCAAGCTGTTTTGATGAATTGAATCGAAAGCTTCTCTGTACTCCTTTCCTTTTCCAAAAAACTGATGACATATTTTGTTGAAGAACACATAAACTTATTTTAAGTTTAGGCTATAAGTTGAGCATTACTTGTTGGCTAACCAATTGTATTATTTGCCCTGTCAAAGGAAAACAGGATTGATGGGAATGATATGAACGGAGGGTTAATGTCTCAAGAGAAATCTATGTGTTGATTCGTTGGAAGTGCCTTTTTACGTTCTACTTCAGGTGAGGAATGTCATTGTTTGATTCTTCAGTGCTCTCTGGTAGATCTTAGTTTCTTAGTTGTTACTCTAGTATTTACAGTAATTTGTATATGCACATTGTCAATATGAGTAGGTTATCCTGAATTCTAGTTTGCTGGTACTTGTATCAATCTGCTGTGCGTGTCATTTGTAGCTGTCGATAGAGATCAGGTTGTGCCAAATGGGGTTTAAACAATACATCATAGAATACAGTGTAAGATTTCAATGCACAAGTCTCCATAACCTGTATAGACAATTCTATATTGCATTCTTCACATATGTTATCTTCTGAAAAGTTGGCATTTTACTAAAAATACTCATCTGAATACACATTCTAATCGGCATTATTGATCCATAAAATTTCTTTGCAGTTCTGATATACATATGTAGTGAGGAAAATCCTCCAATGACCCGTTGTGCACAGCTTGTGAGGTGGCTGTAATTTTGATGCAGAACAAGCTAAAAGAAATGGTGGTGAAGGAGAAAGTGTTTGAATATGTTAATCAGGTGAACATATCTTATTCAACCTGCTACTAACAGTTTTCTAGAATGCGTCATTTAGGGAAACTTGGGCGTGAGATAGCTTGGGAAACGCCATAATTACCTTCCTAGTGTGATTTTTTAGGTCGAAGTTTGTTAGCTTTGACCGTAATTATTGAAAAAATATACTACGTATTGTTTATATCATGGAAGTACTTTTAAATGAATTGTTTTTAATATATTTTTGAAATATTAATTTGTTTAAAATTAAAGATATATAATTTCAAATAATTATGCTCAAACATCAACTGAGTAAGTGAGTTTAACCTCGAAATTCAAATCGGGAAATTATTGTTGGGACAGAATAATATATAAAAACGGAATTGCTGTATCATATGCTACATCTGCTCACATACTATATTTTTTACATACGTAGAAAACTTTGCTTTTGCCATTATAAAGACATGCCTATGAGCCCATCGCCACTAAATTTTATACCAGGAGAGTTCACACAGCTGACCTGCCTCATAGTTTGATCTTGAGTCAGATTATTTAGAGGTATTGAATCTAGATGTATTTAGAGGTGAGTTTTCTGATGCCTTCTGTAAATGTTTTGAAAATTCATCAACTTCTATAATCATGACTTTATGGTGAGCATGTAGAAGCTTTAGGTATCATTTTCAATGTGAATCTGAATTTATACTATCTAGCACTATATATTCAATCTTTAACTTCTCCGCAAAAGAATGATCCTTTTATGATCTCGTTAGTGAACCAATGTTATGCTTATCCATGGACTGCACAATGCATCTCGTACTCCCTGCAATGTCCGTTTCTTCTATCATGTTCTCAGGTTTGATTAATCCTTTTTAAACAATACATAAGCAGAAATCGTAATTCATGTCTTGAAATGCCTAGTGACCTAATAGCAGTGTCCACTAGCTCTTCTGCGATTTTCTTGCTTCCAGCAACCTCACCAGAATACTGTTTGCCACCAAATACCATGTAAGAGAGGAACTCCAGGCGTGAACCAGCTAGATTTACTGTCCTAAATGAAGGCCTCTTTAGGTTTTTCTTTACAGCATACTTATATAATATCAACTTGTAAAATGTAGGTTTTTATGGTTAACTTGTAAAAGCAAATCAAACTACTTGTCTTTGCAAGAAAGATTAAGAAAACTTAGGTCCTGTTTACTAACAGAAATATTTTCTGTTTTTGCAAAAAATTGGAAAACTGGGGACAGAAAAAGTAGAAAACCTGTTTACCTAATTGTTCTCCAAGAGGAAAAAAAAACGAGACATGTCTATTTACTTCTGAAATAGAAAAACCACATTTAGACGTTTTCTCGTTTTAGAAAACACGGAGCTGCAGTGCCTATTTACTCGTTCGCCTTCCTCCGCCTCTACTGCGCTCTACCTTCCTCCGCTCTCAACCTTCCTGCTAGTTAAGGTAAGCCTATCTTACCAGAAATCGTAACCTGAAATTAGCGACATTCACTGTTCATGGTCGTTTGATTTGTTCAAAATCTGGAGGTTGTTTTGTATCTGAAATTCATGGCTACTTTTGGACTCTCTGTCACCTAGTGCTTTTACCCAATCGGTTTTGAGGTTGTTTAGGAGTCCAAGACCCGAGTTGGGTTTCTGGCACTGTTCATCGTTGGCTACTTTTGGACTCTCTGTCACCTAGTGGTTCTACCCAATCGGTTTTGAGGTTGTTTAGGAGTCCAAGACCCGAGTTGGGTTTCTGGCACTGTTCATCGTTGGTTCTACACGGTGAGCTGTGATTCCTGCTCCTCTGCATCTTCCGACAGCTTTCTTACTGTGGTTTGTGACTCGTTGGGCTGGGACAAAGCTCTTGGGTGCTCTGTTTGCCTGTCTGCTGTTGTTCCAGTGGCACACGCTTGTTACAGTCACTATGGGGAAGAAGAAGCTGGGTAGCACGCAGGGGACCTGGGAATCATCGTCCAGACTTACAAGGTCAAAAGCTGGTTGCTTTGATATACTGGCGGAGTGCGAAGATGAATTCCCAGCTCTACAAACGGTCGTTTCACGTACTGCGGATGCGCTGAAATCAAATGGTAAGGCTGATTTAATTAATCGAATAGGCGTTGGTAATATTGAAGTTACTGCAGCCCTGACTTCTGGGAATAAGGGGCCAGAATGTGTGGGTAACAAAGAGGCTGTATCAAATTGTACTGCTGGGAATCAAACACTCCAGACACAGTAACATCTGGACTGGTATTAATAGGACAATGCTTTAGGTACAGGGGCTGAGAAATCATTTTTGGGTGTTCCTAAGGAATATTTGTATAAATATGAAGAGAGGGTTGTAGTTGTTTCCTTTTGTTAGTTTTTCGTGGATGGGTTCATTACGATAACATTATAGCTTGGTTTTCCTTTTCTTTTCCAGATTAATTGTGAATAGGTTCTAGCTGGGTTTGGCTTTTTTTTCTTTCCAGATTCGTAAGAGAATCATTGGATAGGTTATAGTGGGTTGAATGGATGGGAAGTGTCATTCCAGATTTTGTGTTTCATGTTTTAGATTTGTGTGGTGCATTTAAGCATATCAATCAACACAAATCACACTGACAGAGGGCTAGACTTAGGAGGAGTCTCTTCTGTAAAACTCTGGTAAACATGTTTTCTGATTTGGAAAACAGAAAACCGGAAAACGAAAACAGAAAATTGAAGGCTTGAAAACAGAAAATGAAAACAGAAAAATATTTCTGTTAGTAAACAAGCCCTTAATATTATTTTGTTAGCTGCGCTGTTTATGGCTTATAGCTGAATGTTATATACATATACCTTGTAGATGAGTGCATTATTTGCATTAGTGATCCGTTTACATGTGCTTTATAGGGAAAGTCTTGCAGCTTCCAGGTCAACTTATTTCTGGTTGAGAAGGTACATACACTTGGATTTATATGTTCTCCGATAGTCCCATACACCAAAAGCGTTGATTGGAAACTTGTCACGTGGGAGGCCTTCATTAACATAGAAGGCTTTGAGTATACTCGTGTACTGAAGAAACAAGGAGACAAATTTATTGAATTTCATGAAAATTTAATTCTTATATATTCTCATGACAGATGTTTATGTAATTCTGCTTCACCATAGGCATGGAATATATTGAATTTTGAAGTACAATTATTATGTTAGAATTTACATGGCTTCATTAGTTGTAGTCGTTGGCTTGCTCTCATCGCCCCAAGACACAGAAAAAAAATTATGGTTTGAAGTAAAGTGGTTCTGCTTTTGCAAGGAATCAATTCAGAAAACAATATTTTGTTCTCCCTTGGTGACTACTGACTACGAGTAGTACAGTTTCCTTATTTTAATTTGTTTTGTCCATCTCAGTTGTTTTTGTCTCAACTCCATGTCGGCTGGTCTTACTTTTTTTTATGTACTGCTAAACCCGAAAGACAGGCTAACTATTACGGAGTAAGTAGTAAGGCTAAAGTGATGTTAAAACAAGGCTAATGTGACTGCAAACTATCAATCTAACATTGAAAATATCACGAATTTTGATTTTTTGTATGTCTATAACTACGACTTATCAATACAAGTTAGAAAACATCTACCCCATTTGCCCTGATTGGCTGATTACAACTTTTCTGTAGACATTCCTATTGTGCTGTTGCAGTGAGGATAGATTTCTTCGAACTATATAAAATGTCTGGAAGGACGAGCAATTTAGTTGGAATTAGCCAATTAGGATAAGATGGGATATCTATCTCTTCCAAATATCTACTCCATCATTCCCTAATTCCAAATTCCAGTTGATCCCTAATTTGCTCCCATTCAAATGTTTCCTGTTTGGTCTACCCTATTGATAAAAAAATCAGATTGTTTCGATATCTTATTTTGTAGCAAGGTCCCAATTAAATTGATCACATCCATAGTGATTTACTCACTCGGTTCTGGTCCGGTTTGTTTTCAAAACTGAAATACTGACGGTATGGTTGTTTAGGCCATGTAAAACTAATACGGAGTAAAAGATAGGCAAACAAGAATAGGTCTTCTCAGGGTGGAATGGTTTGCTTGCATATAGGGACCAATCTTTCAATTTTTGTTTTATCTGTCATGATAACATGTTAGTCTCTACCTCCTGACCAGGTTAGAGTCATTTTCGAACCAGCTGGTAGCATCAGCATCTGCCAAAAAATGAGACAATTTTTTTTAACAGCTTTTATTATAAAGCGTAATAAAGTGACAAAAAATTGTAAAATACGGAATAAAATGAGATATGTAAAATAAATAATGTCTGACGATGAAGATTAATAATTTGTCAAAATACCTCCAATTAAATATACCAATGTTGATAACGTTGTACCATATGAGGGTATTAATCATGACATCACCAACACTTTCTATATACTCGGTATTTCGTAACAAAAAATCACCACTTAGAGCCCGTTTGGTAGTAGGAAAATTGGTTGATTTGGTTGCTGCATTGGCTGATTTAGGAAAAAAATATTCTTAAAATATTTTTTTAATAAAATAAAGAAAAAATAACATGTAAAAATAACAAAAATGGTCATCTACAGTAACTTCAGACAATTGAACCATAAAAATAACTTCAACCTTACTTTTTCTGTTTATTACACAATTCAGCGCGCGAAAGCAAAAATTATGTGTTTGGTGAAAAAGTTGTCTGATAAGCGTGATAAGTCAAAAAACAATGTGCCAAAAGACCTCTTATTGTATCACTTTTTACTCACACTGAGAAAATTAAGTTTTCTCTACAATTAGTTTTCCACTTTTCCAATTAAAGCTACTCTATAATAGTCTTTTCATTCTGTCAAGTATCTTGTGATTTGATGAGGTAAATTACATGGTACAACCGGCTGTACCGTGCGCACGGTACAACCGGCCTTTTATTTCGCAAATCGCAAGGTTTCATCGCAAATCGCAGGCTTCTATCACAATTCGCAAGGCTTCCATCACTGTTCGCAGGCTTTCATCACAATTTGCAGATCGTTACTCGTCCTTCACTCGCTGCCTACACCGCTGACAATTCTCGACAGCCACAACCCTCCGGCACGAGCGCAACGCCTAAACTCTGGCTTGAGTGGCGGCTCCTGTGGCGGCTCTCTTGGTGTATAGCCCTAGTTGCTTTTTCTCCCTCTTTCTTGCTCTGGACTCTTCCTTTTTCTCTTTTTCTTACCCAAGTTTGGTGAGGGAGTTCGGTCACTTGTGATATGAGCATAACAAATGAAAATATGAGCATAACAAATGAAAATATGAGCATAGTACACATTTCAAATGAGTTTTTTAAATGCTCATTTTGTAATTAATGTATACTTATTTGATATTAGTGCAATATTCATTTTAAAATGTCATATTCATGATATTTCAAAATGAGTTTTATGTTAAACTCAAATGATTACAACACCCAAAATGAATGAGCACACACAAATGAGTTTTTTAATATTTTGATACTGTTTTATGCTCATTTTAAAAGGTTGCACATGTTAAACATATCATAATCCATTAGATTCACATATTGAAATCAAATGAAACTGATTGTAGACATAATTTAAGACTTTAATAAACGAAAAAATAATAAATGGAATGTGATATATGAGGAATGAAGCATATATCAATAATGCTCATCGTTAGACTCCTAATACTCAAAAGAACAAGCTCGATGCTCATTTAAGAGAATCCGTGATTTTAATCAAAATTACAAGTTTGCCACCGGCTGTACGGATGGCACCGTATAGCCGGTTGTAGCATATACGCTTCCGTTTGATGATATCACTGTTGATCTCTCAAAATTGATGTCGCATGTTCAAGTCTCATCCCAATCAAGAATATTCCCAATCAAGAATATTGACATTAACATCGGATACTATAATAGGTTTAGTTTAAATGAATATTTCCAAAAAAAATTGTCTCCTCATTCTCTCTATGATCTATAATAACAATTAACAAATACGCCTTATAATTTTTCTTAACTAAACCTTTTTAAATTTCTTAATTATACTCAATTTGCTAAATTGTGGATGTTTTAGGATTTTCTCAAGAGTATATAACATTTGAGTACTATACGTTTAAGAGCCCGTTTGGTAACACGAAAACTGACTGAATTGGCTGATTCTGCTGAAATTTTTGAAGTTCTGACCAAAGTGACTGTATTGACTGATTCTGCTGTTTCATGAAAAAATTATATTTAAAATATTTTTTATCAATAAATAAAATAAAAAATTGTATGAAAAAATAGCTAAAACGATCCTCTACAGTAACTTCAGCCAATACAACCAAAAAAGTAACTTCAACCTTACTTTTTCTGCTTATCACATAATTTAGCGCGCGAAATCAAAAGTTACGCATTTGGTGCAAAAGCTGATTGATAAGCCTGATAAGCCGAATTAAGGTTTCACCAAACGGGCTCTAAACTTATAAGATGTACTTTGTATGAAATATACTCCATATATTTTTTAGTGAAAAAAATTTAAATACCCAAAATTTTAAGGAGGTGTGAAATTAATATTTCAAACTTGCATATGTTATAACTATAAATTAGGGTTGATTATGAAATCACTTTGAAAAACAAATAAACAAACAAACACACAAACAAATGAATGAATAAGTATGTAAATAAAAAAATAAATACATAAATAAAAGTTATTTGTAATTCTGACATTCTAACAGTCAACCATACACATCTGATTTTACCAAACACTTAAAGAGAACCGGCTATCTGAATCAATCGATCAGAACCGCTAAGAGCTAATAACTAATTACCAAACAGGATCATAATTTTTTAGCAGTCCAACCTCAAGCCCTGTTATGTTTTACGGCCCAAAAAATAGCCATCCAAATATTACACAGTACCATATAAATACTTCGCTATTCTAGGGTTAGTACATACGCCGCTTCCGTTTCGTTTGAGTTTATCTTTGCCGACCCGGCATCTCCAAACCCGCTGAATCGGTAAGTATTTCTCTATATATTTTTTTCTAAAATACTTCTTAAACTTTTTCGATTGATATTAAACTTTTTCGATTGATATTAAACTTTTTCGATTGATATGGTCCGGTCTAATAAGAAAACGGTTGGGATATTCTAAGGCCAGGAACTGCAAGTCCTTATATTTCTCCAATGTTTTTTTTAATATATGGATTACCAGTTACGATCAAAAAATATTTGGATTACCAGTTAGAAATGGTTGATTTTATGGTTGATTTGTATTAGATCCATTTAATTAAGGTGTTAAATATCTAAGTGTGTCGATGAAGATTTGAGTAGTCATGAGACTAAATCAAACGTATCGCATTTGGTTAGATTTAAATAAACTCTATCATTCTTAATTGAGCTCATTTTATTGATCACTCTTAAAACCATTCCACAACATTATGGTTCATTTTTTAAGTATACTTGTCTATTGAATTGAAGACATCATCATCAACAACCTCAAGTGTAAAATCTCTTGCTGTTTTTATTCATTAAGTGAAACTTTAAACTTTTATACTACGTAGTATTTTATTAGATCAACTGTTTTCCTCGACTGAGACACTGAGTAGCATAAAGATAAATTTCTTTATACATCGCTTAGAATTTCAGAATTTCTTTGCTGGTAATGTAACATGGTTTCTGAAAGTTTAAAGAGAATTGAGACACTGAATGTAGTATAAGTTAAAATTTATGTTTTTATACAATACTATGATACAAAATAGTTAAAATTTCTTGAGATTGAACAGATGTTTCTGATGGCACATCTTCATTGAATGTAAAATTAAATCTGTTTTAAATGTGGAAATTTCATTTGTTGTAAGGTGGAAAACACCAAAATGGATCCTTTGAATGATTCATGGATCCTTTGAATGATTCATGGTTTGAAATTGTATACAAATAGATGATTTTCAGCAACATTCTCTCAAAACAAAGTACATCCACTTAGGGGGTTTTTGGATCTGATTCTCAAAACTGATTCTGCTCCTTCAGGGAGCAGAAGCTGGAGTGTTTGGGTGAAATTCCAGAAGCACTTCTGGAGCTCTAATTTACTCTTAGAATCAGTTTTCTAGAAGCTGAAAACTGATTCTGATTCTGCTTCTGCTTTTAAAAAATAAGCAGAAGCAGAATCAGTTCCAAACACCTCCTTATACATTTTTTTTAAATAGTAGTAATAATGAGTTGCCATGCCAGATAACAGGCAACTAGGGTGGGGTGAACATCATGCTCTTTTGAGACGGTGACCTTTATTTACTGAAGGTTGCAATTAGGCTTATGGCTCGCATAATAGGATGGGGGCCCAAATATTTTTACACGTAGTACTCTGTATATGAAATACTCCATATTACAATACTCCATATTACAGAGCCTGAAAAATTGGGGGGGAAAAGCTACCTCCCCTGACCACCAGCTCTACACTACACAACTCCTCTCCATCCTTCTTCTATAGAGACAATAGAGAGAGAAAAGCATGGCTAGAGGGAAGATCCAGATCAAGAGGATAGAGAACCAGACAAACAGGCAGGTGACCTACTCCAAGAGAAGGAATGGTCTTTTCAAGAAAGCTCATGAGCTCACTGTCCTCTGCGATGCTAAGGTTTCCATCATCATGATTTCCATGTCCGGAAAGCTCCATGAATACATCAGCCCGTCTCTCTGGTATTTTATATACATATCCGTATTGTCTGTTTTTTATTTAATTTGTAGTTTATCATCATATTATGAAATATACACATGCAGTACGAAGCAGTTGTTTGACCAGTACCAGAAGACCCTCGGTATCGATCTTTGGTGCTCCCACTATGAGGTTTTTATATTAAATTATATTTATTATGTTTTCAACTTCATCATTTATGTACTTATTTACAGATCTATCGTTTTTTTTCTCTAGCTAACTTTTTTGCAAATGTGTTTGTGCAGAAAATGCAAGATCAGTTGAAGAAACTAAGAGATGTTAACCGGGCTCTTCGAAGAGAGATAAGGTAATTCAGGTTTGTATGTGTATAATAGTAGTAATAATAATAAAAATAATAATAATAAGGGAGTATATGGTAGAAATAATACGAAGTATCATACTATGTATAATCCTCTGTTAAATTTTACGGAGTATTAGTCAAGGTAAAAGTAGGTCTGATGAGTAATGTAAAAAAGTTGAGAAAAAGAAGGATAAAAAGTAAAGTAGTCCAAACGTAGGAAAGAGAAATTAGAAAAATTGCTTAAAGTGTATCACGAAGTTAGGTATACTTTAACAAAAGTGAAATAAGAAGTTGCCCCAAATTGGATTGAAAAGGTTTTGGAATTCCAAATAGGACTACTACTATGTGTTTATTCTTTGAATAAAAAAAATTACTGTAATACTTGGAAAGTACTGTCAATTATGACCAGATAACAACTTATTTAAAGCCTTGTAATGCCAAAATATGGCAGTAAATTTTGAGGATGACAAAAATGTACTCTTATTTAGGGAAACAAATGTAATGCTCCTGTTTTGAACATATAGAGCAATATGTTTGTATTATGTTTTTTTTTTTAAAATTGTTGAAATGCTTGCTTGGCGATATATGCATAAATAGGCAGAGGATGGGTGAGAATCTGAACGACCTGAGCCTTGAACAATTGACAGAGCTGATAGAAGATGTGGATGGTTCTCTCAAGCTCATTCGTGACAGAAAGGTTTATTAATTAAGTAATTAATCGTGTATATTGTAGGGTTTTAAGCTGGCCCTAGCTTCTGCTATGTACACATATTTCACATTATTTCTTGAACTTGAGCTGTTTAAGTAAACACTAGTTCTGATTTTGTTTGAAATAGCGTGTTTTTGTATATTGTTCATACAATGTGTAGAATGTTACTCACTCCATCCCTTAAAACTTTGCCATCTTTCCCAAAAAACTTTGTCACTTTCCCTTTTAATCAATTATTTTTTCTGTTATTTCTCTCTCCTCTGCACAAACCTCAACCTCACAATTTTTACTTTATTATTCTCCGTGCCGGTCAACTTTGGCAAAGTTTTAAGGGACGGAGGTAGTATCATCTAATGTGTGCTTCACTTCTATAGTTCTATTAATCCCTAAATATCTTGCACATTTTAGAAAAAACACAAAGTTCAGTGTTCAATACTACACATATTATGTAATTAAGTAATTAAACTGCAGTTAGCCACTTTGTAAGGTAACATAGATACATCTTACTCTGTACATGCAGTACTGATTAATTACGCAGTACTAAACAATCAAATAAGGAGTCTGTACAGCTTTGTGTTGGCTAGCCTACCAGCCTACACAACGTCATTTAAAACTGGGTAGTTGATGGACTTTGTTTAAAACATTGTAGCCTAGGCTGCATGACCGAGTCCTAATTTAAGGAAATTGGTTTACTTTTATTATCTAAGATTCCGTAAGAATTGCAAATAATAATCTGACCTATTTTCTGAATCTTTTATTAATGTTGTATTAAATGAAACAGTATAAGGTGATTTCCAACCAGATTGAGACTCACAAGAAGAAGGTATGATGTCTCTTCATACTGACTACATAAACTATTAATTTGTTATCAACATTGTGCTGACTTAATTTGCATCAGAATCTTTCAAATTAATTTGTTACTGCGTGCCAAAGTTATGTTCATACATAACTTTACAACAAACTGTTTGTAATTATAAAGATCTCTTACAAATTGAAACTTGTGTGTGTGTAAATGTGTGTCATTTGATGTTTCAAAATTGAAGCATATGTGTTGATCGTTCTGATGGATGTCTGCTTGCATTATTGCATATATCATTATAGGTGAGGAATGTGGAAGAAATCCATAGAAACCTGATACTGGAATGTGTAAGTTACATCTTCATCTGGCTCTGTACTTAAAATAACACAGCATGCATTATAATAATTGAGACACTAAAAAAAATGACCCTAAATTTGTAACCAAATTTGTAAGTATTTAAACATTTCATTTAACCCTAATACTACCTAAGGGAACTCACTTGAGTCAAATATTTCGAAAAAAGCACAAATTACAAACTCAACTTTTGACACAATTTCTTTTGGATTCTGGTTTGAATCTTCTAAATTCTAATTATAATATATACATCTTTATTTTTTGTTGTTTCTACCTTTTAAGAGGCCGTTTGTCAACACTCTTTTTCGGCTTATCAGGCTTATCAGCCAGTTTTTTTACCAAACACGTAAATTTTGCTTTTGTGCGCTGAATTGCGTAGTAAGCAAAAAAAGTAAGGTTGGAGTTACTGTAGATGACCATTTTAACTATTTTTACATATAATTTTTCTTTATTTTATTAATAAAATGTATTTTAAAAATAATTTTTTCCTAAATCAGCAGAATCAGCCAATCCAGCCACTCCATTCAGAACATCCTAAATTTCAACAGAATCAACCAAATCAGTCAATTTTCGTGCTATCAAATGGGCTCTAAATATCTATTGTCTAGCCACAATGATTTGTTTTTCTGCTCGAGCTTTAGGAGAGCAGTTTAATTTTTTCTTTTGGCCGCAACAAATATATTTCCTCGGTATATATCGAGCATTTAGTATCATTTTCTTAAAACAATTAATGGAAATGTAGTAGTAATAGTTTGGGAATGGGCAGGAGGCAAGACAGGAAGAACCATACGGGCTGGTTGACCATGAAGGGGGCGATTACAATTCTGTTCTTGGATTTCCAAATGGAGGGCCCCGCATCCTAGCTTTGCGATTTGACCCCCCCAATCACCACCATCACCACGGCCACCTCCACAGTGGAGGGGGATCTGATCTCACTACTTTTACTTTACTCGAGTAATAGTAGTACGTATGCTGCCGAGTGTTCAATTGGCTGGTAAATAAACTTGTAACATTTTCGTACATGTGTCGCTGAGTGTGTCTAATTAGCTGGTAAATAAACTTGGTGTTGTAATATATTCTCTAAATTGAACATGTTGTAATCAAACTGATGCATGGGGCTGACTTGTATTTTTATCATTGTATGAACTATGAAGTGTATGAACCAGAATGATGACGTGCAGTGGCGGAGGGAGTGCGGTGTCAATTGACACAACTCTTTTTTTTTGTAATTATATATAGAGGTATATTCTTTAAAAAATTAATTTGATACCACGTATATAAATGGAATGATTATTAGTTGACACCACTTAAATATTTTTTTGTAGTTATATACTATTCTCTGTTTTTTAATTCTTGCAACAGTTTGACTTTCATGTTTGTTAGCACACAACTTTGATTGTAATTATATTTAATTATGTATTAGTAAACATTATAAAAAGTTGATATTTGGAAATTCACATTGATAGGAATTCAATAACATTTTACAATTAATATGTAATAATTTGATTATGTATATTAGTAGAAAATCATGGTCAAAGTAAGGTGTGTGAATAGTTCAAAAATTACAATGTTGCAAGAATTAAAGAATGCATGAAGTATAATGGTATATTTTCCAAGAATCAATTTGACACCACCTATATTAACGAAATGAGGGTCAAAATATAAATATATACGAAATAATTACATATTTATAACTAAAATAAAAGTTATTTACAAAACCTGATGTCTTAAGTGTAGTGGTTACATTAGAAACTTTGTTAATATCTTTAACACTTTTCAATAACTGATGCACTATAATATTTATTCAAGACAAATATAACGCGAACAATCAGTCAAAGGAGCGGAGCTTATAGCCTTTACTTGATATTAGTAAAGCGCACTTACTCTAACGGCGTACCTTTTGCATGATGGGTCAGCAAGGAAATGTGAACAACGGCTTAAGCCATTAGGTGTAGGCGCTTTCCAGAGGTGGAATCTTCTAGTTCTTCCTATTTGACCCGAAACCGATCGATCTAGCAGAATAATCTTTTTTCCGAGGATGCCCGGCGTAAGGCCAGACAGAAAGTCTTGTACGTCAGGCATAGCTACTGGAAATTCATGCCTCATTCTTATTGATGTATTTCCGGCCTGGAAGTCAGAGGACCTTTAGTATTGTACTCAGTTCGGTAAGTAAACTCACCCTACCGAGGGGCAACAAAGGCGATTAGCATAACAAGACTTTCAAGATTCCATTCCTTTCTCTTGCATCAGCTCGTACTAAAGCCTCTAGCTAGACCAAGATGGAAACACTAAAGTCTTGATACATTGGAAGAACCTACCGGAGTTTGAAAGGTCTTGGGAGGATGCACAAGTGATAAAACAACAATTTCCAGGCTTCCAGCTTGAGGACAAGCTGTTTGCTCAGGAGGGGAGTACTGATAGAGATCCGGGCCAGTCTAATAAGGAGGACAGACACTTTGGTCAAGTTTATTCTAGAAGGGGGAAAGAGTCTAGCTGTTATTTCGTTAAGCCACCTTGTAACTACTTTCAGTTAGATATTATGTCTATAAATAGAATAAGCTGGGGAGACGGGAGGCAGGCTGTTTGACTGTTAAGTCTTGGACTGGGAAGTTAGAGTACTATCTCTACTTTTGGGACTGTACATTTCTGTTACGTTGGAATCTACTGTGAATTGTGTTCCTGAATTCCTTTTATCTTGATTGAGTTTGATCTTTGTTAGAATTACTATTCATATTCTGGTGTGACTCTAACAGAATGCTAGTATAGCAGAACCAATATATCACATGGTAAGAGTCGGTGCTCTTTAGGTTTGAGCCAGATAGACATACCGTCCTAAATAAATTAAAGGCCTCTTTAGGGCTTTCTCCACAACATACTTATACAGTTATACAATATCAACTTGCAAAACCTAGGTTTTTATGTTTAACATACAGTAGCAAATCAAAATGTGTTATTTTGTTAGCAGCGCTGTTGTTTATAGCTGAATGTTGTATACATGTACCTTGTAAATGAGTGAACAATTTGCATCGGTGATCAGTTTACACGCGCTTTCTAGGGAAAGTCTCGCAGCTTCCGGATCAACTTATTTTTGGTTGAGAAGGTACATACACTTGGATTTGCATGTTGTTCGATAGTCCCATAAACCAAAAGCGTTGATTGGAAACTTGTCACGTGGCAGGCATTCATTAACATAGAAGGCTTTGAGTATACTCCTGTACTCAAGAAACAAGGAGACAAATTTATTGAATTTCAAATTCTTATATATTCCCATGACAGGTTACCTGCCACGCAGGGCGGAGCAAGACTCGTCTGGTACAAAGAATATTTTTGAAAAAATATTACATTAAAAATACAAACAATTTTTAAATTTGGACTGGGCCGGGGTCAAGCTTGGCCAACCCGTAGCTACGCCCCCTGCGGCCACGAAAGGTAAAGAACAATGATATTGTATGGGTTCGTGGTTAACATGATAATTACTACCACGCACTTCTTACCTACAAACAATACTTATTCTCTCGAAAGATTAACAACCTTATACGTAAGGGAGATCATACAATTAGATGGCACACACGACCCTTATGTCTCACCGGGATCCAAGGATTACATCATGGTTGCGATGGGAACCAAGTTGAAGTTTAACACGGTAGTGCATCCTTATTAGACTGAGGGGATTCCTGAAATGGTATCCTAATACGCGAAGATATGTTTCATTCTTGAGCGTTAGAACTCTTGGGTAGTTGGAATTGGCACCTAGCATTAGTAGAGTTTGCTTATAAAAATAACTATCATACAAGTACAAGTGTGGCCCCATATGGGGAATTATATGAAAATAGAATGTAGGACACCATTGTGTTGGGGTGAGGTGGGGCGAGGCTGGAACACGAAAACTCGAATGCATTGAGTTGGTATAGATTACTAAAGAGAAGATACAAAATATTTTGGCAAGATAAATTAAAGGTTGCAAAAGACTGACTAAAAAGCTATGTAGGTAAACATGGAAGATGCTCAAGTTAAAAGTAGATGACCAGGGTCGAGGTTACTGAAAGCTAAACCCAAAGTACATTACGGCCTTGTTTGACAATCGGCTGTTAGTTGTTAGCTGTTAGTTGGTTGTGTCAACTGTTTGATCACAGCTGGTTGTATTAGCTGTTTTGATTGGCTGATTATGTTAGATTCTTGCTAATAAATGTTTGGTAAAATTAGCTGTTGTAAATAGCTGTTTGAGTGCAAAACGACGCATAAGGACACGACTATATTGGCATACCGTATTAAAAATTGATATATTGGCATAGATAATCTCAACAAAATATAACATCATATTATGACAAATAAATTTGAAACATCTTCGTTCTAAGCTTCTAATTCGAAGGTATGGATCTCGAGCTTAATCTGATTTCAATTTGAAACATCTTCGTTGTCCTCTTTCGTTTGTTTATTATTTTTTTGGTCTGTTTTTCTTTTCTATCCTCATTCGCAGTTCATCTGAAAGTGAAGAACATCGATTTGTAGTTTATTGATATGATTTTGCACTTCCTTTTTTGCCTTCCCGAATTGCATGCCCCAAGAAATAGGTGAAGAGCTAGATATATAAACGGAAATTGTCCTAAATAGGACTAATGAGTTCCTAAAAAGCACAAATAGGACTACTACTTTTAAAATTCCCTAAATAGGACTAAACATTGATTTTCTACCCTAAATACCCCTAAGAGTATTAATTCATAATGAAATGCTTTAATTCATAATAAAATCATAAAAAACGTAAAAAATATTTTAAAAACGTAAAAAAATTATAAAAATTTTATAAAACATTTATAAAATAAAAAAATTATTTTTTTATTTTTTTAATTTTTTTAAAAAAATAATAAAAAATAGTAAAAACCCATAAAAAATGAAAAAAAAATATGGATACCTTTCCCACCGCCTCCCAGCACCACCACCTCCGATTGGTGAAATTTCTTCCACTTTTGGTAAAAAAATGTCATATTTTTCTGAAAATGCCAAAAAGATGGCATAATTACTCTTCAATATGCCAACATTTTCATTGAATATGCCATCATTATGGCATTATTTAAAATGTTGGCATATTTTTCTCCGGTGATGGGAGTTGGTGGTGCTGGGGGGTGGCAGGGGTGGTAATGTTTTTTTTTTAATTTTATGATTTTTTTTTATTTTTTTTATTTTTTTTTAAAAATATTTTTTTTTATTTTTTTAAAAAATATTTTTTATTAATTTTCTTTTATTTTTTTACGATTTTTAGTATTTTTTTCGATTTTTATAAATTTTTTTATGATTTTATTATTAATTAAAACATTTTACAAGTTACAAGGGTATATTTGTCCAAACACACATAAATAGTCCTATTAAGGGAATTTAAAAAATGTAATCCTATTTGTGCAATTTTGACACTTTTTAGTCCTATTTAGGGAATTGACTCATATATAAAATAGTGGATTTGTTTAATAAGGGTATAAAAAGAATTTAATAGATCAGCCGATACTAAACGTTGCCACCTCCAGCGTTTCTAATTTCGGCTTTTTGAGTCTCACCAGCCAAAGGAACCATCCGTTTGCCAAACGAGAAACACAGCGGTTTGGATAGTCAAATAATCTATTTCAGATCAAAGTAGCTGAAAATTGGCTGATCAGCCATTTTCCAAACAGAGCCTAAGTCATTTCATATGATAGAAATTTAACTTAACCCATAGTTGGCTAAAATTCACGACATGTTCCACATGTCGATGCTTAAGAAGAATGCTCCTGATCTTTGACGACACATCCTAGAAGCACCATTGCTGGAGATTATTAGGAAGAACTTAGTTATACCATACAACCAATAAAAATTCTAGACCAACATGTAAAGAACTCAATAGCATGGAAGTAATGATGGTCAAGTTATTCTAGCAAGAACTTGTCATATCGCTCCCAATTAGATTAAGTATTTCAAATAAAATGGATATATTATACAACGTAATTTATTTGTATTATATATATATATATATATATATATATATATATATATATATATATATATATATATATATATATATATATATATATATATATATATATGTGTGTATGTATGTACGTACGTACACACATGCACATATCAACTAAAATTTGACAACGGTGTTATTAATTTCAACTAGACAAAACTAATACACTTTTAACAATTTAATAAAAACACCCCCAAATGTAAGAAAAACAATTAAATTATAATAAAAAAGTAAAATATTAAATAGTCTAATACACGTATGAAACTAATGTGTATCCATACACACATACATATACACACCAGGAGAAATGACTATATAACCTAAAAAAAATAGGCTATATTAAGTAACGAACCCAATTATTTTCAATAAATTGTGTATGGAACTTCAGTGATTAATACTAACATCCGTATCGCATTAGTTGCAACATTGCAATTTATACACTATTCATGTCCTCTACTTTGACTACATTTTAAGTTTCATAATCTGATTTTTAATTATTTTTTACAAATACAAAATTAAATATAATGATGATCAAAGTTGTGCATTAACAAACGTGAAAAAGAGAATTTTGCAACTAAAAAGAACGGAGGAAGTATATAAAATGTGATGAAGTCAATCACAAGCTAGATACAATCACACTTGATAATAAAATATGTATTGAGTTAGCACTAAATTAACTTTTATGGATTTTGTTTGGTGTTGTTATTGAACATACATATTGTTGGGTTAATGGCCCAAGTTGAGGTTCGGCCCATTCACCCCTTCTTCCAGACGTACGTCCAGATAGAACACTAAGCTAGCCTGACAGGCCCATATTCCTCCAGGAGGGACGAACGTCTGCAGTTGGGGTTTAGGCTCAACGGCCCATCTCGACGAACGTCTATGCAGGGACAAGGAGCAGGACCACGGGTCACCAGAATGACGACGAACGTCGTCAGAGCAAGCCCATAACCATCGGAGGCGGTCCAGTCCACATGGCGAGAATCCACAAAGGCCAGGGGACGAACGGCCAATACCCCTTGGAGGCCACCTGGAGCAATCAGCTCGCTCCCCGGGCGGACGAACGTCCCCACTAATTAGGCGGGAAACCTAGATTCTGGCGGGAAGTGCATTTAATGTTGAAGATTTGGTGGTTGAGAGTTGGCATTTATTTCATTGTAAAGAGTTGGCAACTTTCTATTCTTAGCACTCTAGCTATAGCATTCTTACTCGCAACACTTCTACTGCCTTGTAAGACGAATGGCCGACGAGCCTTAGTGAAAAGTATTGTATTAGGGAGTTATTAAGAGATAATAATACCTAATCACTTACTTGCTGCTTATTGTTCTCCTTGATCCATATTACTTGCTAGTTGGGCTAGATATTCATACACACTCCACTCGAAATCCTTGGGCTTACGTATTGGACCCGAGGGTTGAAGGAATAAACCTCAACACATATCTAATAAGTTCATAGAAATATTAAAACAAGTTATAAGCACCTTTTTTTGAGAAAATTCACTAAAGAAGACTAAAACAATGATAAAGTTCATAAATAGCACTATCATATACTCCGAATTGTGTTATTCCCAAAATATGATCAATTCACTCCTTTCTTGGAACGTTTTAATCAACTTGTTTTTTAATATGACTAAATATTTCATATTTGCAGAATAAAATACAGTAAGTCCTATTTTTGCACTTTATGTATGCTTTGGTACTGTCTCATCATATTGAGCAATTTCTATATTTTTTCTAAATAGATAGTACTACGTATGTAACATACTAAAAAAATGTATTTACATCCATCATCTAAATATATACACATACCTACTAAATTAATGTTCAATGTCATGCATACATAGTCAAATTTGTGAAATTCAACTAAATTAGAAGGTAAGTATTATATCAAAATATCCTTCAATCCATATCATTCCCTGACAAAGAAAAAGAAGGGTACAAGTATCTTTTCAGATAATGTAGGAATTGAAAAAGACTTGAAATTTGGCGTCCTAAATAGCCAAAAAAATTACGCAGGTGAGACAAATTAAATACTCTCTCATTTTTCAAAAGCCGTTTCAAGATTCAACGACGATCAGAGAGCGGATCAGGATCGGGATCGGAGTATGTAAAATCATACAATTAAAAACTAAAATACAATAATTAATGCCCAAATTACTAGAAAGGTGCATGCATTAATGATTAACCGGCCGCCCTAAAGCAACAACAAAAATCTAATCATTTTTGACGTTCTTGATTTCATGTTCCTCCCATTCTTTATCCTCCGAACCTCCGTACGGAAATTGAGGAAGTCCCATGAATTGATGATGATGGTGATGATGATGTTGATGATGGGATTGTGCCGTGGAACTTGTTGACGATGTCGGTGAAACGAAAGTTCCCGGCGACGCAATTCCGTGGCGGTCAAACATTAGGTCATCCCGGAAGGTGGGAGGGAGAGCGTTGACCGCCGTTCTTTGGTCGCCGCCTATAACAATCTGCGCCGCTGCCGCGTATTGGTCATCAAGAACGGGCACGTAATATGGAAGGGGGGAATGTGGGAGGAAAGGAGAAAGGAGTGACGGCGGCGGAGTTGCGTGGAACTGGAGCTGTCGAGTTTGGTGGTGGTAGTAATGGTGGGGTGCTGCCGCCGCCGCGAACTGGTGGGGTTTTCCTTGAACTCTCTCAGGGAAGTTGAGCTTGGCTTTGCTGCCTTTGAACCTCAATGCTGCTTCGTCGTAAGCTAAGGCGGCTGACTCCGCCGTGTCGAAGGTTCCGAGCCAAACCCTCGCCGCCTTCTTTGGGTCCCTGACATTTTATGGGCCCGGGACAATACAAATAGACTGGGCCTCAAGGATAGCGGGGATGTTTATAATGTTCTTTTTGCTATAATAATCTATAATTTAAAATTATACAATTTTACCGTCCAAAAGTAGTACTTCGTATAACACATAAAAAAAAACTAACAAAGCACATGGTTAGAAAATATATAGGGTATTTGATAAGTGACATTTGAGGATACAATGTACCTAAGAGCCGAGTGAAACAAGTAGTGCAACTATTAGGTGCAATAAACATTTTAAATTAAGGAAAGCTGTGAAATTATATCTTGTATAATTAGGAGTAACTTTTTCATATTTTAGATCACATTTTCACTAGACAAAAACAAATTCTACGTTTCTAAATTATGGACACTAAAGTTCAATCTTTCACTAAATGAGAGAATCGGAGGAAATTTGTGAAATATATCAATAAGTTCTGGATATATATAAGACATGTACACTAAAAGAATAAAATTAATGCAATAATCCGTAATTATAATGTGAAATGGTGAAATATATTCTCAATGAATTCTAATGTGAATGTTTCGAAATTATAGACTTGTATCGTGTAGATGCTGAATAACTAATTATAAGTATCTAAAAAATATAAGTTTGATTTTATATTTTACCTTTTATAGATTTAGGATGTACATATAATAAAAATAGTGATGTACACAAACACACACACACACACATATTTGAGAAATTTATGGGCCCTACTGGAGCAAAGGGCCCTGGGCGCATGCTCCTCCCGCCCATGCCCCAAGACCGGCCCTGGGTCTCTGATCTCCGCCGCCCATTTCCCCCACGGCCGCTGCCGCACTCCTCTATAGTGCCTCTTTCTTTGGCTCCGTTCTATACACACATGCATATGTTTTAACTTGGTCGCATTGATTTTCTTGTACAAACTTTTCAAAATGAGAGTAAAATATAGAAATAATTTAAATACGACTATACATATCATATATAATCTTATCAAAAGAATAAAATAAAGAATCTCTAAATAGGAGTACATGCAAGGGCAGAGCCAGAGCATTAGGTCGGAATGAACAGGTACATAGTTTTTTTGGTAAAATATTTAGACTAGATTTTTTAAACTAAAATATAGGAATTTTTTAAATTTGGGGTGGGTGTGTGCATGAACTTGTAATATTTTGAAAATAAAACAAATGCATCTCTATTCGAGAAAATTCACTATTTTTACTTCAATATATTAAGAGTTTTTTCTATTGTTTTTTCATTGGTACTTCTATAGTTCTATGGATTACATGCAATGGTAACATTTTGCATATCCTTTATATAGCAATGCAAAATTCACTTACTGGTCTGGTCTGATCTGGTCTGGTAAAAGTCTGGTCTATGTGTATCTTATAACTACATATGTCAGGTCCGGTCTAGTCTGATCTGATCTGGTCTGGGACTGAAAACGGCCCAAAAGAAAACATTCTAAGTGCACCTTATTTCTTTTAGGGCTTAGATTTGAGTTTCATTGTTTATTACTAGAAACTTTTAGGTTTGTAAGGATTAGAGGTGTGCTTCGTATCAAAATATCTCATATCTCATTTTGAAGAACCTCTAAATGAGATTTAATTTACTACGTATAACTTTAACATGTTCTCTGATGTTATTAGACATTATATTCATCTCGAATAATTATCAATATTATATTTCTCTTATATTAGTATTTATATATGCACCAATGTTACGTTTACGTACCCAACTACCCAAGCACTCCCCCCCTCCCATGTTGTTATTGGTATAACCCCAATTAGAAAAGGGGTATTCTACTTACAAACAAATTCCTCTCAATTCTAAATCCATTTAAAAGTGTGCATCACGATTTATGATGATTGATGGGAATAATAGATATAGGTTATGATTAGTCCACAACACAAATAAGACTTTAGAAGTTTAGAAATTTGTAATGGAGCAAAGTAAAGGATCAATCTTCTTTCAAAAAGAGATACAAATATGCTGAAATGGCAACTAACCCAATTCCAAACACAAAGTATATTTTAGTGAATGGGGGAAATAAATGGTATGAGTAAATCCATCAACTTAGCTGGATTCTTCTTTTGAATCTATTGCATTCTTAATTGGGCTATTCGTAAGTTAGATGTCAAAAATGCATTTTTACATGACAATCTCACTGAAGTATATATGTGTCAGCCTCCTGGTCTCATTCATCCACAATTTCCTAATCATGTTTGTCGTCTCCGCAAAGCTATCTATGGCCTTAAACAGGCTCCTCGAGCCTGGTTTTATAGATTCAATAGTTTTTTGCTGACGCATGGTTTTGTCTGTAGTAAGTCTGATAATTCTTTGTTTATATATCAACATGGTTCCTAACTTATCTATCTTCTCTTATATGTCGATGATATCATTGTCACTGATAATTCCCTTTCCTTTATTTCCACTTTTATTTCATGTCTGGGCCGATGCTTTGCTGTGAAGGATTTGGGGGATTTACACTTTTTCCTAGGTGTCCAAGCTGTTCGAGTACCATCTGGTTTATTTTTATCTCAGCAAAAATATGTGTCTGATCTTCTCACCAGATTTCATCTTCACACTCTTAAGCCTGTTCGGACCCCTCTTGCTACGCGAACTAAACTTTCTCTCACTGATGGGGATCTCCTAGCAGATCCGTCTGAGTATAGAAGTATGGTAGGTGCTTTAAAGTATTTAACTATGACTCGACCTGATATTACATTTGCTGTTCACTTGGTTTCCCAATTTATGCATGCGCCTCGTACACCTCATCTTTTGGCTGTTAAGCGTATTTTCAGGTATCTTCAGGGGTCTATTTCACATGGGTTACTGCTTCGGCCGAGCACTTCTACTCCTACCATACAGGCTTACTCGGATGCTGATTGGGCCGGATGTCCTGATAGCAGTCGGTCCACCTCTGGTTTTGCTATTTTTCTGGGTCCTAATTTGGTCTCTTGGAAGGCCAAGAAGCAGCCTACTGTGTCTCGTTCTTCCACAGAGGCGGAGTATAGGGCAATTGCATACACTGTTCAGGATACTCTACATATACGCTCCATTTTATTTGAGTTGTGTTTTCCTGTGCATGCACCAGTCACACTTATGTGTGATAATATTTCAGCTTCTTATTTGTCAGCTAATCCTATTCAGCATGACCGCAATAAGCATCAACATTATTGATTATCATTTTGTACGTGAGAGAGTTTCCCATGGTGATCTGGTTGTTCGACATGTTCCTACACAATTCCAGCTAGCGGATATTTTTACTAAGAGTTTATCTTCGCAACGTTTTATTTTTCTTAGGGACAATCTGCGCATTGTTTCCCCTGCACAGCTTGAGGGGGTGTATTAATGTAATTAATACTTTAATTAGGTTTCCATATTTATTTTGTTTCCTAATGTACTCTGAACTCTCTTATTATATATATGACATCTAGGCTACCACATTGGGTATGTCTTTCCATTATTTTCACACTCTTTACCTCAGATTCACTGCTATTGTTTCACGCGCTCATCTGAGACCAAGAAATAAAAATTTTCGTAAGTAAATCTAATAATAGGTAGATTCTATGGTATCCGTAAGGTCCCATATTATATTTTTGTCCACTAGACCAATCAGAATGTTGCAATTGAATTATTTAAGTCTAAATTAAAATTGATATACCTATTTGGACCAATCAAGTGAATGGTAGGTACGGTACCCCATTTTTTAAATGGGTACCGGAGTTCTCACCAATCTAATACAGAATATTTTAGTAATTTTCAACTTTTTTAAAAGTTTTAATTTCTTAGTTTCTAATAGACATGGGTTTTAACCAAGGTATTTTTTGGCCAAGCACTTTGTGGTTCAATGACATCACTGTGACACTTCCAAGGAGGAGGTCACAGGTTAGAAACTCATCCTAATCAAGGATGTTGGCATTTAACAATGAAGTAAAACAGATACTATAAGAGACTAAAAAAATCTAGCAAAAAAAACCAAGGTGTTGTTTGTTTGCCTTGTTTTTTCTCATTTGCGGAAAGGAGAGACTAAATTGAATGCTAGTATAGCAGACCCAATATATCACATGGTAAGAGTCGGTGCTCCAAATAAGGTACAAATCTACAACACTCCATTAGTAATTGCTTCCAGCAACCTCACAAAAATACGTTTTGCGACCAAATACCATGTTAGAGTGAAACTCTAGGTGTGAGCCAGCTAGAATTACCGTCCTAAATGAAGGCCACTTTATGGTTTTCTGTACAACATACTTATACGTACAATATCAACTTGCAAAACCTAGGTTTTTATGATTAACATACCGAAGCAAATCAAATACTTGTCTTCGCGAGAAAGATTAAGAAAACTTAATACTCCATATTACTCCGTATTTTGTTATAAGTATAGCTGAATGTTATATACATTACACATATACCTTGTAAATGAGTTAACAATTTGCATAAGTGATCTAACCTGTTTACACGCGCTTTCTAGGGAAAGTCTCGCAACTTCCGGATCAACTTAATTATTTCTGGTTGAGAATTGAAGGTACATACATTTGGCTACATAGTGTATGTCACTTCAAATATACTACACATACATATCTAGATACAATGTGATAAAATAAAATATGTATTGAGTTAGCAATAAATTAACTTTTATGGATTTTGGTGTTATTATTGAACATACATATCTGATAAGTTCATAGAAAAATTAAAAAAAAAGTAATAAAACCGTACCCTTTTTGAGAAAATTCTCTAAATATGACTAAAACAATTCAATGATAATGTTTATAAATATGACTATCATATACTCCGAATTATTTTATTCCCAAAATAGGATTAATTCACTCCTATTTTGGAAAGTTTTGATCAACTTGTTCCATCTTTTAATATGACTAAATATGTCATATTAGGTGAATAAAATATACCCAGACATATTTTTGCACTTTATGTATGCTTTGGTCTCATATTGAGCAATTTCTATATTTTTTCCAAATAGATAGCATGTAACATACTAAAAAAATGTATATGCACCCATCATCTCAATATATACACATACCTAGCTACTATACCATTAAGGGGAGTAAGCAATCAATTTCTAATAAATTAATGTTCAAAGTCATGCATATATAGACATATAGTCAAATGTGAAATATAATTAATTAAATTAGAAGGTAACTAGTATATCAAAATATCCTTCAATCCATATCATTCCATGACAAAGAAAAAGAAGGGTACTAGTATCTTTTCAGATAATAATGTAGGAATTGAAAAAGACTTGAAATTTGGCGTCCTATTAAAATAGCCAAAAAATTACGCAGCTGAGACAAATTAAATCCTCTCATTTTCAAAAGCCTTTTCAAATTCAACAATCAGCAAGCGGATCGGGATTGGGATCGGAGTAAAAGCATACAATTAAAAATTAAAATACAATAATAAATGCCCAAATTACAAGAAACTCGTGCATGCATTAATGATTAACCGGCCAACCTAAAGCAACAACAAAAATCTCATCACTTTTTGACGTTTTTGATTTCATGTTCCTCCCATTCTTTATCCTCGGAACCTCCGTACGGAAATTGAGGAAGTCCCATGAATTGATGGTGATGGTGATGATGATGTTGATGATGGGATTGCGCCGTGGAACTTGTCGACGATGTCGGTGAAACGAAAGTTCCCGGCGACGCCATTCCACGGCATTCAAACATTAGGTCATCCCGGAAGGTGGGAGGGAGAGCGTTGACCGCCGTTCTTTGATCGCCGCCGATAACAATCTGCGCCGCTGCCGCGTATTGGTCATCAAGAACGGGCACGTAATATGGAAGGGGGAAATGTGGGAGGAAAGGAGAAAGGAGTGACGGCGGCGGAGTTGCGTGGAACTGGAGCTGTCGAGTTTGGTGGTGGTAGTAATGGTGGGGTGCTGCCGCCGCCGCGAACTGGTGGGGTTTTCCTTGAACTCTCTCAGGGAAGTTGAGCTTGGCTTTGCTGCCTTTGAACCTCAATGCTGCTTCGTCGTAAGCTAAGGCGGCTGACTCCGCCGTGTCGAAGGTTCCGAGCCAAACCCTCGCCGCCTTCTTTGGGTCTCTGATCTCCGCCGCCCATTTCCCCCACGGCCGCTGCCGCACTCCTCTATAGTGCCTCTTTCTTTGGCTCCGTTCTATACACATACACACATGCAAATATTGTAACATGGTCTCTTGATTTTAATTTCTTGTACAAATTTTTCAAAATGAGAGTAAAATATACAAATAATTTAAATACAACTACATACATTCTCCTTCAAAATAAAACTTATTTAATCTTGTCAAAAGAATACCAGAGACAGGGCACTGGGTCGGAATGATCGAGTCGGTACAAAGAATATTTTTGGAAAAATTTTTAGACTGGATTTTTACACTAAAAAATACGGATTTTTTTTGTAACAACTCCGGTACCCATTTAAAAAATGGGGGTACCGTACCTACCATGCATTTGATTGGTCCAAATCATTATATGCTTTTTAATTTAGATTTAAATAATTCAACTGCATCATTCTTATTGGTCCATTTGGACAAAGGTACAGTACATTTGGGGTACCGTAGAATCTACCTTTTTTAAATTTGGGGTGGGCCAAAGCCAAAGTTTAATTTCCCTCTAAGCTACGCCCCTGAGTGCATGAACTAGTAATATTTTGAAAATAAAACAAATGCATCTGTATTAGAGAAAATTGAATATTTTTACTCCTATATACTCCGTACTTCATATCAAGAGATTTTTCTATTGTTTTCCCATTGATACTTCTATGGACTACATACAATGGTAACATTTTGCATCTCCTTTATATAGCGATGCAAAGTGCAGTTACGTTATGGTCCGTTTGTTTCGAAGTGCACCTTTTTTAGGGCTTAGATTTTAGTTTCACTGTTTGTTTACTAGAAAATTTTAGGGTTTTAAGGATTAGAGGTGTGTTACGTATCAAAATATCTCATACTTCCTCCGTTCTTTTTTAGTTGCAACGGTCAACATTTCACACTTGTCAACGCACGTCTTTGACCATAATTATATCTTAATCTCTATTAGTAAAAAAATTAAAAATCATATTCTGAAAATTTGTAATGAGATGAATTGAACAATATTTTTTTTGAAAAATAATTCTTATAAAATAATAGCGTAAAATGTAGTCAAAGTTGAACATGTGAATAGTGTAAAATTCAACATGTTATGATTAAAAAGAAACGGAGGATAGTACTTCGTATCTCATTTTGAAGAACCTCTTAATAAAGGTTTCCTGTTGAGATTTAATTTACAACGTATAACTTTTTTATTTTTGGAAGAAATTTACAACGTATAACTTTAACATGTCCTCTGATGTTATTAGGCATTATATTCATCTCGAATAATTATCAAAATAACATTTTTCTTGCACTGGTATGTATATATGCACCAAGGTTACGTTTACGTACCCTACCCAAACACTCTTTTTTCTCCATGTTGTTATTGGTATAACCCCAATTAGAAAAGGGGTATTCTACTTACAAACAAATTCCTCTGGATTCGACATCCTATTTTAAAGTCCATCACGATTTATGATGATTGATGGGAATGATATAGGTTATGATTAGTCCACAACACAAATACTCCCTCTGTCCCGAAAAGGTTGGCCAAAGTTGAATTTCACGTGAATTAATAAAGTAGAAATTGTGAGGTCGAAATTTGTGCAGAGGAGAAAGAATGAATTTTAGCCACATATTCTTTACTTCAAATGAAAATGACAAATCTTTTTAGGACATCCAATAAGAGAAAATTTGATCAACCTTTTTGGGGCGGAGGGAATAAGACTTTAGAAGTTTAGGAATTTGTAATGGAACAAAGGGAAGGATCAATCTTCTTTCAAAAAGAGATACAACCATGATGAAATGGCAATCAGACCAATTCCAAATACAAAGTACTACGTACTTTGTATTCTTCTTTTGAGTAAATCCATGAACTTAGTTGGATTCTTCTTTTGAACCTATTGCATTCTTAATACCAATACCATTCAATTGGGTAGATGAATATTTTGAAAATATTGTTCTTTGACTTATTTCCATTCTTATTAGTTATTCCACCCACTAAAGATTATGTTAAGTAAGTCTCGCTCTATCCTTTTATAAGATACACTTTCCTTTTTGAATTGTCCCAAAAATATGAACACTTTCTTAAATATGAACTCTCGAGAATTAAACTTAAAACATCAACTTAACTGACTCACTCAGCCATAGTTCAACTATATGAAGTGTAAATTGAAAAGTTGGGTGGGATCCTGGATATAATTTATATAAATTATAACATATATTTGTATGCCTCTAAAAAAAACATATATTTGTATGTATAATTGTATATATACCTTGATCTTGAGGATTGGGTTGAGATGGTTGTTGAAGAGATAGGTCACCAGTTTGGGGTTGTAGTGAATTTCCATGCAGGGTATCATCCACAGCAGCTTGGGAGAGGGAACTAATGGTGGGATTAGTGGTGCTTCCAATGACTTGGGAAAGGGCAGAAACCATGGCAGTCATATCATGAAGAGACCGGGCCGAGTAAATCGGGAAAATGGGGTCAACTGCCACCGAGCCACCGCCTCCGCCGCTGCAGACCTCTTTCTTCTCCGCTTCTTCGGATGAAAAGGGCCTCTTCCCATTTGAATGATCCACCTTTACTATCTTCTTGTATCAAGCCAAAATGCCAAAATGAATATATAATCCAATTTATTTGTCATACCATGATATATATGATCATATCAATTGTGTATATATATTGGATAAAGAAGTAAGTTTAAGCTTAGGGAGTTTGACAAAATGATTGATATGATGATAAGCTTTCAATTCTATATATGTGGGAAGAAGCTTATAAGCTAAGATAAACAATTATCGGATGAGTTGAAGTATTGGAGAAGATGATGAAGTGAATGCTCTATATAATGATATGATCCTCGTGTGTATAGAGTGTCAAGTGTGAAAGAAGAGTACCGTGTTGAACAATGGACTCACTTTTTCCTTTCTTTGTCAGCTTTTTTCTTTAGACTCTTAGGATGGTATATCCTTATATGTATACTAGGGGCGGATTCAAAAAATTCCGTTCATTTCGACTGAATAGTAATTATACTAAGTTTAAAGTAACAATCATTGATATATGTAGCGAGAATTCAAAATTTACAAACAATTTGATTATGAAATAATTACATAAACATGATCAAAATAAAGATGATTTACAAAAATATGATTCATTACTAGAGTAGTAATGAAATCATAATAATTCATGTTCAAGTTTTGAACTTTAGTTACCACAGCACTACGTTGTAGTAATGAATAGTCATATTTATGTAAATAAGTTTTATTTTAGTAATATTCTCGTAAAAAACCCTTTGATTATCTACAAGTTTAGCTTACTATAGCTCTAGGGTTATTATATACTAGTCTTTGAGTTATATATTATATCCATACCAAAATGTAAGATTTTTACTCACTATCATGTATTATTGTTCATTGTTTTACACTTTTAATATTTATTGGTTCTAGCATTTTTTTTAACTCAATAAACTTCTAATGGTCACTCTGAAAATGCATAATTGTTCAAGAGACCGCCGAAAATTAACATTACGAGTAAGGGCGGATCTATAATTGTTCAAAAGTGTTCATGTGAACCCCCAAAAAATTTAACTAGCAGTGTAATAATACATGTATATGGGCGCTATTGTCAAGATTTATATATGTATATGAGCATCCAAAGCTTATAAAGTAAATTTAAACCTTCAAAATTAATGTCCAAGATCCGTCACCGATTACAAGTACAATTACATTTTCCCAGTCACTATATATCTGTCGAGAATTGGTTTAAATACGGAAAATTTTAATATAAAACCATAACAATCTTTCTTATCATTAAAATATAAGGTTGTTGTTTTTTGTGTACTTGAAGTCAAAAGGTGTTTGTTTAATTAATCACCCTCTAGAGAGAATAAAGTCGTTTTCGCTTTGGCTGCTTTAGTGTGTGGGTAACATGTTATAAAGGTAGAATGTATGAGATTGTTATTGGGCCGATAATAAAATTAAATTCCAAATGATTAGGTAACCTGTACGTACTAACTTTATATGTTTGGCATGATAATATTTTTTGTAATAATTAAAATGTTTTTACTTGAATTGAAATTTGCAAAGTCTTGTCTGGTCTGTCTAAATCTAGTTTGGTTAGATATGTCTGATTTCTGTGTATTTTATAACTTTGAACGTCTAGTATGATGTGGTTTGATCTGTTTATGTCTGGTTTGATCTGTTCTAGTGTGTACATATAGTGCTCTATATGCGATTTTTAAATATTATTTGAAAAATAAAGTAATACACGGAGTAGAATTTTATTCAGGAAAAAAATGAGCACAACCCGGTTCAGACTAACCCGGCGGGCTGGGCCTAGGCCCGCCGGGCACCCCTAATTGTCTATTTACATATGTACTTCTAAATCAATTGTCTGTGTGGACGTGTGAAAAGTGGCGTGTACATGATGAAGCAATCTTCAAGAAGAAAAACTAATATGAGTTCACAAAAAAGAAAAAATGAAAATGCCAGATAAATGCATACAAATATACAATGGGTAAAAGGTAATGAAATAGTTTTAAATATGAGTAAGATGTAAAGAATGTTTGTAGAAGTTGATGAAAAAATATATCAAAATATATTTTATTAACAAAAAAAAATATATATGAAAAAATAGCAAAAATGTGTTCATCTGCGGTAGTTTCAACCAATTCGGTTAGATAAATACCTTCAACCTTACTTATTTGGTATAAAAATGATTGAAAAGGCTAATAAGATGAAAATAGTGGTACCAAATGGACTCATAAATTCCAAAATACATGTATTATATATTTCATGAGTGCTTACTAACATGCTTGCAAAATAAAGCAAATTATGACATTGATGCTATCAATAATGCATGGCAATGTGAATATATGCCGCCCCAAGGTGACATAATGTGAATCTCCTCTAAACATCTATGTATTTAATTGACTTATTTACTTGGCATAATCAGTCCAAGTATCCAACATTGGGTATGCATTTGACTTATTTCCTCATTGCCCGTGCCCATCCAGACTGCTGGCCTGGCTGTTTTGCCTGAATTAGGTATGTTGCGTTTCTTTTCTTCATTCTTCATTTGGTACTTGTTAGGCTTGTAAAAAGTGCTTTGGAATGTTCCCCTTTGGGCCTTATTGCTAGCCTTTATTGTTGTTAATAAGTTTTATCCTTGTTTGCTTATTTATACATGTGCACGTTCTTGTTGTAAAAGAAGATGGTTACTCCCCTATTGGTCACTTTGAACAATGAGGGGGGCGGTTCCAGACATTAATTTGATATTTTGATATGAAACACATAAAGAAAATGGAAGTGATGATACAATTGAAAATTTTGAAAATACCAACTAATACTCTAATAAAATTGAAGATGAGAATTATAAAAAATGTAGCTGTAAGCCTGTAAATGAAAATTACGGTTAATTAATTTAGCCTGTGGTATAATACATTTCCAAATATGTAGACATCAATTTTGGGATGAAAAAGAAAAAGAGAAGATCGTTTAGGGAAAAAGAGAATTATACCGATATTTCTCGGAAAGAATATGTTGTGGCAATCGCCACTACAATGGAAAGGCATGACATTCTAATCCTGAACAATAGTTTTGGTTCTTCATGCATGACGGATTGGCCACAGGAGAGGTGAGTGAACTCAGCTCGTGCTTAAATCAGATAAAATTGTTAGGAATGAAATCGACATTTTTGGACAAGAATGAACATAAGCACAAAGTCCGTTAAAGTTACAAAGAGTGAAAGAGGCATTAATTGGGAGAAAATATTGGCGGAATCTAAGTGCAAACTAACATTGAAATAACAGACTGAACCATTTTCAATATTTTTGTATGTACACTCCATCAATTGATTATGCAGCTGGATGAGCCTGCCAGTATGCCAAAAATTGAGAAGGCAGTTCTGCTAAAAGTGACTGAGCGACAGAAACCTCTTCATCTACAAGATCATAGAAAAAAAATCGCCCCATACATTGCTTATTTTAAATAAAATCCGACAAAAATAAATAGAAATACTCGTTTATATGCGAATATGCGATCAACCATATTCACTGAACAAAAATCACTAATTCCACTGGAGAACTTACTTTGCATTTCTCGTAATGGGACAAATTGGACTATATCACGGGAAGCAACCCTGCCTTGAGAGTTCTCGAGTCTATCCTTTTTATCAGCGTCTAAAATCTGAAAATTGAGTTTTTTGTGTATCAAGAAAATTTTGTATAAAAACATACAAACAGTCCTCAGACATCTTTACTAAGAAGGCAATAAGAACAAGAATACCTCCATTTCCTTGAAGTCAGCTCCTCCAACCCCAACTATAAGAATCGACAATGGCAAATCTGATGCATTAATAATTGCATCCTTTGTTTCTTCTAGATCAGTTATTACTCCATCCTATAAATTTTAACCAGAAAAGAGGATTCAGTTTGAAAGAGATGGATGTTCATAATCAGGCTATTAGAATCAGATGTTAACTGAATTTCATGTCAAATATTTGTTTTAGTATACTCCGTATATTATACTACCTCGTTCCCTTAAACCTTTGACATCTTTGACTTTTCAAGTCAATGATGGTAAAGTTTGGACACTGATTTTGGTTAGTATTACCTTCGTCCCATTTTATGTGTCTTGTTTTATTTTGGCACAATTATTAATAAAGTAGTTGGAAATGTAAAAGTTTGTGATTGAGATTTGAGTATAAAAAAGTGAAATGTTATGGAGCACATATTTCTTTCCAAAAGAGGAAGTATGACACTTATTTTGGGATAATCCAAAAAGAAAAATAAGACATGTAAAATGGGATGGAGGGAGTATAATATAATGGAGTTTATAAAGTTATACTTTATGGAAGTATTTTTTAACAAAGAACATTTCATATCACTTTTATATTACGGAGTAAAAATAATTTCCTAAATAAAATATAATTGATCAAAATGATTTAGTAGTCAGGTCATACTGTGATAATTAACAACACAAAATATTTCCGCTCTTTTCTTTCTGCAGATTGGCCTGCTATTTGTGCTCCAGCATTTATTACTGGTCCAAACAAAGTAGGCCCAGCAAGTGACACGTTGAAAAGGGCACTTATATATGCCATCATTATTCCATGGATTCCTTCAACCTGAAATATGAAATTACTCGTTTAAGACAGCATAATAAAATGAAATACAAAACTTTACAAGCTAAAGGGAAGAGAATAATGTTCAATAAATTGTATGTTTTCCAGAAACAAATTAGGTAGTATATGCTCTCCAAATGCTCCAGGCAAAACAAAGTCTACCTCACAGTAACTGTTGCTTCCATTCAAGTTAAAGCAGTGAGAAACTGGGCCATCTATTGGCCTTGCTCCAAACCCCCATGCTGGAAAGCGCTTGTCTGTATCATAGAATTGCAATATTCCTCCAACTTCTGTGATGGCCTGTAATTATAATACGAAAAAGCATGTATGCTAAGACTTAAAAGACCGTAGATTTCTCAGCTTTAATATTCAAAATTAGCTTCTCAATTCTCACTCTTTGGTATGCATTTGGGCGGCCTGAAGGATCATTATAGTGCAATGAATCTGGCAGGCGCGGATTTCCATTTGAAGCTGAGACAAAAAGAAACAGAAGTCAGAGAAAAGAATGACAAGCAACAAGGGATCTTGTGAAGCGGCAGAACCATAGTGGTGAAGTACGATGTAGGGTAAACCTCCTTTAAATATAGTTGCTCAAGGACCCCAATTTTGTATATAATGGATATAATTCTTTTTTAACCTTGGCCCATTTACTACGTCTAAATAGAGGGGAGTGGGGGAGATATTA